TCACCATGTCCATCAAGAAGGTCAAAGCCGTCCAAGATTGGCCCGAGCCCCGTAAAGTCAAGGATGTCCAATCCTTCCTTGGCTTCACTAACTTCTATCGGCGTTTCATTCACCAATACTCCGACATTGTGGTCCCCTTGACACGCCTCATGCATAAAGGAGCCCCCTGGCTATTCTCCGACGATTGTCGCTCTGCTTTCAACACCTTGAAAGAGGCCTTCACTTCCGCTCCTATCCTCACACATTGGCTACCCGACGCCCCCCTCATTGTAGAAACTGACACCTCCGATTATGCGATCTACGGAATCCTTTCCATTCGCTGTGATGATGGAGAGATTTGCCCCATCGCTTTCCACTCTAGAACACTCTGGGCACCGGAGCTCAATTACGACACCCATGACAAGGAACTGCTCACCATTCATGATGTGTTCCGATCATGGCGTCACCACCTCGAAGGTTCAGGAACCCCAATCGACGTCGTCACCGACCACAAGAACCTCGAGTATTTCTCCACCACCAAACTCTTGACCCGGCGGCAAGCCCGCTGGTCAGAGTTCCTCTCCCAATTCCACATGACAGTCCGATTCCGTCCTGGAAGACTCGGAGTTAAACCAGATGCGTTGACTAGACGTTGGGACGTCTATCCCAAAGAAGGGGATATGGACTACACTCGTGTCAATCCGCAGAACTTCCGACCAGTCTTCACTTCGGAGCAGCTCACTGCGTCCTTACGAGCTACATTCCTAGCTGCCACAGTAATCCGAGCAGCCGTACTTGTCGACACAGAGGCTCTTCATCGAGACATCTTAACCTCCCTCTCCTCCGACACCACAATCTCTTCTCATCTCACTTCCCCCAACCTCCCCAACTCCCGCTGGTCCGTTGATGCCGAAGGCCTCTTAAGGCTGGACAATCGCATTTACGTGCCGGATTCTAACGATCTCCGTCTCCGCGTTTTGCGAGACAAACACGACCACCAACTTTCCGGACACTTCGGGCAAAACCGGACTCTGGATCTAGTACGTCGTGAGTATACCTGGCCGGGCATCCGTAACTTCGTCAAGAGTTACGTATCCTCCTGCACTTCGTGTGCCCGTGCCAAGGTCCCCCGTCATAGGCCTTATGGCTTACTCAAACAACTCCCCATCCCCGAACGTCCTTGGAACTCCATCTCCATGGATTTCATCGAACAGCTACCCTCCTCTTCCGGATTCACTTCCATCTTGGTCGTCGTGGACCGCCTGTCCAAACAGTGCATTTTCATCCCTACCCACGATACCATCACCTCTCCGGAACTGGCCAAGCTCTTCCTCCTCCATGTGTTCTCCAAGCACGGAGTTCCATCCCACATCACCTCCGACAGGGGTCCGGAGTTTGTCTCTCATTTTTTCCGTTCACTTGGTAAGGCCCTTGACATCTGCCTCCACTTCACCTCTGGTTATCACCCGGAAGGAGATGGCCAGACCGAATGGATGAACCAGACGCTCGAGCAGTACCTGCGCATCTACAGTAACTACCAGCAGGACAATTGGTCTGAACTCCTGCCTCTCGCAGAGTTTGCATACAACAACGCTCCGAATGCCACCACGGGCATCTCCCCGTTCTTCACCAACAAAGGCTACCATCCGAACATCACCGTTCACCCGGAGCGAGACCTGACATCAGTACGCACCCAAGAGTACTCTGTCGATCTCAACTCCCTCCACCACTTCCTTCGCAAGGAAATGCATCTTGCTCAGATCCGCTATCAGGGCCTGGCAGACTCCCGTCAGAGCCCTGCCCCAGCTTTCGAAGTAGGAACCTCGGTCTATGTAAAGGCCAAGTACTTCCGCTCCACCCGACCTTCCAAAAAGCTCTCTGAGAAAAACCTCGGCCCATTCGAGATCATCGCCTGCGTTGGAACTCATTCCCTCACTCTCCGCCTGCCGGAAAACATGCGAGCCATTCACCCAGTATTCCATGTATCGCAGATCGAACCCTCCGTCCCGAACACCATTCCGAACCGCCACCAGCCACCTCCGCCTCCCGTAGAAATCGAAGGCGAGATCGAGTTCGAGATCGAGGAGATACTCGACTCCAAGATCGACCAACGTAGATGCAACAAGTTGCTCTACTTGGTCAAGTGGCTAGGCTATGAAGGGACCGACGAGGAGACACAATGGCTCCTTGCCGGCGAACTCGATCACACCTCCGACCTCGTTGAGGCGTTCCACTCTCGGTACCCAGCGAAGCCTGGACCTGAAGCTCCTTAGGAACCCTGACTCCTCTCCCATTTCTCCTTCTCCCTCCACTCCTCACTTCCGTCTTTCATTTTCCCATTTTCTCCTTCTCTGTAAGTACAGCTCCCCTCACCTTACTAATTCTGGGCCTTCAAGGGTTCAGGCCTAAGGGGATACTGTCATATCCATCCCCGGCCATCGACTTCCGGTCCCTCCGTTCCCTCCAGTCTAACTCTGCTCCTTCTTCACTAACCTCGGAGCTCCCGTATTCCGCAATCCTCTCGGTACCCCTCGATGGTCACCACCCCCTCATTTCAATTTATTACCTACACCTCCCTAAGTATGGAGCCCCGAAGACTTCCGGACAGCTCCGACGTCCACTAGCGCACCCCCGCCTCCACTGGGCAATACAATCGCCTGCCCTGCAGAGCCCACCTTCGGGCCTATCCCTCCTTTCCGTTTCTGGGTTATCGCCTGCCTTTCCGCTAACCCCGCGACCCGACTCGTCGGTAATATTCAGTTGGCTAATGTTTAACCCCGTTAGCTCCGCTCCGTTCGGCTCCGCCAATTGCGGACCCATCTTTGCTGTAACCATATATATCCCGCTTGTACATAGGTTACACTCCAGTAATAAAATCAACTAGAGTTACCCCCCCCCCTTAGGTTCTGATTGCCAGTCAGTAAGTTAGGGCACGGACATGTCACTAGGCACAGCGCTCTTGGCAGAAGTCGCTGAGGCCAAAGCCCTCCGCTACGGAGACACTCTTTCGTCTCGAATCCGGTCTCTGACATTGTAAATAAACGCCATGAAACGTTTCCCGGGCGTTTAAACGATATACGGGATTTTCCGACAACACGGGTTGCATGTCACGTGCTCAAACCAATTCATAGGCCGTCCCCTTGGCCGTTTTCCACTACACCTTGTCATCTGCGATTAGCATAGGGTACATATTTTAGCAGGAGACAGGGGAGGTGGTGGGCGCGTAAAAAGGCTGTAAATAAGGCTGTAGATACTGGAAGTGGGCAAGAGAGTTTGTCAGGCAATGGCAGCGATTTCAGACCCAGGCTGAATCGAAGCATTCTTACTCACCGAGGAAGAACGGGCTGGCAATGGCTGGGGAACAGGAGGCATGGGTCAGAGACCCTTTATAAGTGCACAGATGTTCCTGTTGGCATATTAGGTTTCAGACCGTACCACAGCTGAGATTGTTCCGTTCTTGTCAGGGCACACACCCTGACTAGCCCGGACCCGGACCCGCGTCCGGACCCGCTACGCTTCCCGCGTGCATTCCCGCGCCGCATGGTCCCCGGACCCTGCCTTCATGTGACTTCCGGGTATCCCCGGAAGTTTTCCTGATATGGTGGCCACTGTGATGCGCAGAACTGTCAGGGGACAACTCCTGGGTCCCCATGACCCTCCCCTATGGTCCACAGCCTCTGGTCTGGCCAGCCCTATCCAGGGCACAATCCTACTGTGGGTAAGGAGATGAATAGATAAACAGTAGGTAAGGTACACTTGCCTACTGTGGGTAAGGAGATGAGAAGGAAGCTAACTTCTCATCTTCCCCGCGCCGGAACGTTCAGCATACAGTCTGGAACCAAGCGAGCTGTAGGTCCACAGTGATGGTGTCATCATGAGATGGGCGAGACCTGGGCAAAGCGGCATTGAGCCGATGGTGCCATAGTGAAATTGTTAAGACATGGGCACGAGCAAGGTGTGGGTGGTAGGGCGGGTGAGATAGCAATGGGCAGGCAGGGGGGCGATCACTGCATGGCTGTGGTAAGCGTGATTAGTCTCGTGAAATGGGACATTGAACAACAATATATAAGCGGTACAATCCTTGGATCGGGTGTGGAGCACCTTGTTGACAATATTTGGAGGATAACTTGTTGTTTAATTTCACGAGAGTAATATAACAATATAACAATCAATTCGAGTAATCATGGGACGCAGTCTGCCCTCAGCTGACCTTAGGTTTTCCGCTTCTGCTTGCCAACTGGCTGGGAAACCTAGCTGCGCTCTGTCGGGACCGCTTTGGCATTCACATGCCTTCCCTCACTGATCACCGATCTCTCGTGATTTCTCGCGCAACTTAGCGAATGGCCTCTGTCGTATTCTGAATGTTTCGTCGCAGGTGCGCAAAGCGGACCATTCAGAGGTACATACTGAACTTTCGCTGTTGAGAGCACTCATATTAGGGGGCATCATGTGTGGTTAAACTGGGTTCTGAAGTGGTTCGAAATTGACCTAAATTCCACCTCAAGTGGGGCCTGAGTTTAGAGCGAGTTTAGGTCACTTCAAGGGCGTTCACAGTTGGGTTGGTTCCAAAGTGCGTCCAAAGTGGCCCGGGCCAACTTCAACTCTGGAATAGGGCCGATCGCTTGACTCCACTCTAATGGTTGACAAGAAGTTTGTTCTTTGGTTTCTTTTGAGCTGAGTGCTATGACAAAGGATCGCAAATAGGGATCGATGTTCGGCTTCGCTCAACTCAACCTCTGCCCCAACTGTTATTCCTGGTCCCCACTTATCATCAGCTGCACCGATTTGTCTGCCATGATTGGGGGACACATTTGGTAGTGTAGAGTCACTGAACATATAATGTAACAACAATGAGCTATGTTGCACCATGACGCCGTCGGCCAGGTCGTTACAATTCCAGGATGACATGTCCAAGAACAGCTTTTATGGAGTGCATGGTTTAATGTCAGGGGAGGGTACAGGCTAGGACTATAACTTCTACTCACCGATGTTCCAGCCAGCACGAAGAGGCGGACCTAAAATCAACCCAAGAAACGCGCAAAGAGCTCGTTGTCATTTATGCACCATATGTTTTCAACGAAGTGCACCCTGCCCCGTACTAGGTCAAGTTCTGGTGGGCAGAAGTCAGACCCGAAGACCAGATTCAGCATCGGACGGGCCCGAGCCACTTCGAGCAACAGTTGACACCAGTTTTGATGACAAATACTGCGGATAATGAGAAGTTGTAATGCAGGGAAGGAAAAGTGCACCGCTGGTCCAGTGGGTGGCTCTCCATTATGGGACGGCGGGAATTCGGGAGCCAAACTAAGGAGTTGAATGAAATCATCATCGAGCCAGTGCACTCGCAACATCCTAAGGCTCTCGAAACGTATAAAGGCATAATCACGGGCATCAAATATCGAGTCCTGTATCACTAGCACCTCGAGACCGTTGAGAACATGCATGATACCGCTGCGTGTGCCAGCGTCGAGTCCCTCCAATCTTGATAGATGGTGGAGACTCGGAAAATCCAGATATCTAAGGTTTGGCGCATTTTGGATGGGGAAACTACACCACATTTCGGCATGCGCTTGAAGCGTGAGCTCCTCGAGAGTGGGGAATGACAAAGAGGAGAGAAGAGGCTCGAGCCCTGTGCGGAGGGAGGATATTTTAATTTTCTTCACATCGCGGCAATGTCTCAGCACTTTGAAAACCGTCTTTGGGTCCAGTCCCGATAACTTCACCTCATCCGTAATTCTGAAACCAGAATGAAAAGATATTGCGATGGGCGTGCTAATATCGAGCCAACGCAAAGCGAGAGGAAGACCAAGATCAAGTGTTCCTCTACCTTTCTCGCCAACATTAATGCGAAGTTGATCGAGGCGATCGAATGTTGAGTGGGGCAGCGGCAGCCAAACCATTGCACGATCAACTACGTCATGCTGATCATGCAGGTCGAGACTCAGCCGGTTACAGCGATGGTAGTGGGGCGACACCAAATCCCTGACGCACTCGTGGACGTATACGGGTACCCCATGGAGCGATATGGTCAAAGTTAATGGGGCACCCTTGGATCGGCAGAGATACAAGGCGGCGCGCTCTAACCTAGCACGCACGAGTGGTGAAGCCAGGTAATCTATCGGGCTCCAGCACAACACATCACTCAGACAAAAATAAATGGATATCTTTGACCAGAATCGTGCTTCCTCCAATGCCAGCAAGCGCCAATGCCTGCAGACCAACGAAACAGCATGCATCCCCTTCGAAAGAGAAGGAGAGGGGCCATCACTCAGACCGAGCACGAAAATCTCGCGCAGGATCTCCGCAGGCAGATAGTTAATATGACAGGAGGTGGTCCTCAACATGGAGGTCACGGACGAGGGGAGGGTGGCAGGGTCAAGGAAACTTGACCAGCTTATGATTTGAAGATTCGGAAGAACGATTAGAAAGATCAGATGCAAGCAACTGCATGTTAGATGATAAGACAATAAATTCTATGAAATGAGTTACCGAAAAGAATTTCTGCATTCGCATGTTGTCCATTGTTTGTTGCATACTTTGCATACTTTGCACACTTTGCACACTTCGCACACTGTGAGTTGTCGGCAACTTCCCTTAGTTCCCACACTTTCCTCAGCTCCCTGTCGGCAATTTCCCATAGTTTAATTCAGACTTTGCATAGATTGCATACTTTGCAGACATCGCATACCCCACATACCCCACATACTTCATATACATTGCATGCATGCTGAGGCTGTGATGGATTATTCGCTCTTTATCAATCTTGTATATCAGCTAATTAGAGGTTTAGCTGTTTAATTTGTTGCGAGAGTTGAATGAGGGTATAAACAAAATTATATGGGGATTCACTGAGGCTACCAACCTACTAGGATGTGTGTTGAGCTAGAATTAATGCATGGTGCTATCGCTCAATGGCTTAAGTGTTGCAATACATTGGAGCTGCATGGGTGTGGGTTCGAACCCAGCAAAGGCAAAAAGTTTTATACTGATTTCAGGTGGTCGTTCGGCTGTGTCTCACCAAGGACCGCGGGGCATGTTCTGCCTGTATATGCAGTATCTAACTGACCCTGAGCTGCTGGTCAACCCCCACGAGGAGTAAGGCCCAGCTCATAAGAATTCGCTGTCATGCAGGTGGTGGGTGTTCACATCATGAGTGCCTCGGTGAAAATCCCACTGTGGAAATTCAAAAAAATTGTGCCACAGGGAGGCAGGGAGATCTATGTACATAGATTTATGTTCCATAACTATGCCGAATAAATTGTGATGAATTTCAGTAATTCCTCCCTGAGCGACTCGTGTGAATGATACATATTGGTAAAAATGGGGAAAATAAGGATTACTGATATTACTGTAGTACCAGATACCCCTAGTGTTCTTGCAGATATCAAGGTAAGGTATGAAATTATGAGGATGCAGATGCCTGGGATTGCTTGTATTGCAGTGCAGCATAAAGGTGTGGGAAAGGTCACCTGATATAGGCTGTGCAGTTTCAACAGCTTTTGTTCCCTCGCTCCCCACACAGTTGGCACACATCATCACAAGCAACAATGGGTAAGGTCAAGAAACCAAGGGGGACAGCTGGGAAAGGTAATAAAACATGTATTTTCCTTATGTATATGTGCTGATGTGTGTCTTGCCCATAGTTTCTACTATACTTTCTGAATGCGAGCCAGAGATCATGAAAGTAGTCAATGCGACAACACTCCTCGATGTTGATGCAGCATGGGATAGACTTCTTAGCCTTCTGGCACAAAAGGCAAGCATACAAAAGGTCATTATATAGTAATCTACTTTGAGGTCTGCTATTCTCATGGGTAGTTTCTGCAGATCCAGGTTGAAGGTCTTTTGCTCAGCAGGGCCAATGGCTCAGCAGAAGGCACTGTAGATGCCTCCCGTGCACAATCTCTCAGTGCACACCCACTCCATATTTCCATATGCAGGGCCATCAAAAACTTTGACAGTTTTCGGCCACAGCGAGCCTCACACAATACCAAGTCAAAATTTGTATGTCTGCTGTCTCTAATAAGCCTTTTGAGTGCTGACCTATTATAGGCAAGGATACTCCAGTTTGACCAGTGCCCCCACCTGCAAGATCTTATTGAGGGGGGGAAGTTTGCTGTCCACATCATTGAGTATGATGAGAACAGTGATACACGTTTTAAGATGTGTACTCAGCGCTCCTGGCTTGTTGATGCCTCAGGGGATGGTAGGCCCCATCAGGTTATCCGAGAGGGTAAAAAAGTTCAAGTGGGAGGTGATGGATGGCTGATTCTTGATGCTGACACTTCTCATATTGTTCTCAATCAGAGTAAGTTTGTGATTATTTATTTAATGCCTTATTAGGGAATGTACATCCTAATTCCACATTATCTCCAGGGGGTGAGCCAGAGCTCATTGCAGTGCGAAATGCCACCAATTCGCCTGAAGTCCTTGCTGAGATGAGCAAAACTATCAAGAAGCATGTTAGTGAGCGACGTGATCTCAGGGTGAGTTTAGAGTATTAATCCATCCCATTAATACGTTCTGAGGGAAACAAAGCCCAGCCATCCTGGCTCTCTGTATGCCTTTGGAATCAGTGCAGGGGCTCGCCACTGTCGCAAGTTTGGTCATACCAAATTTTCAAAGCAGCCTGAGTACACTGAGTCTGAGTCACGTGGAAGTGACCATGACCTACTGGGCCTTGCTTCCCTTGCATGGGCTCTAATTATGTCAAGGTTGCCCATGGAAATTATTAAGGAGTTTGCTGATGGGCTGAAGAACAGTGGTGTTCCTGCCCTTTTCTCACCCTCAATTGAAAGTGGTTGTCAGTATTCTCCATGTTTATCTTGTTATTCTCTATGCTCACCCATGCAACAAAGCCAAAGGATACTATTTCCCCTTTCGTGGTAAACTTTATTGCTTTCATGATAAGCCCCATCCACCACCAGAAATATATTATGCACAAAATTATACTGCGTATGTGATGCTTCCCTGGCTATGATAGTTTTGCTTGCTAACTTCTGTTCATAGTCCTTGTCACTGTGATGCTGCCTATATTAACTGGGCATTTGGATTATGCACATCACGCTCAGTTAGTCCTGGATGTGTTCACCATGGTGCAGATTTTGTTGATGTGAGTTTGGGGATCATTTTGCGCCATGCCCCAGACACCATCTTCGCATTTCGTCCTCGCCATCGTCATGGAACAACAGTGTGTGACCATGTTGAACATTCTGGGATTGTCTTCACCTTTTCCAGCCACATTCTAGCAGCATATGAGGTTGCACTGAAAGATGGCTATGAAGCAAAGCCTGTTTTTACATGGGAACGTGTTGACATTGATCCCAATGTTGGGAGTGACTTGCCAGATGATGAGTATCAGTATTCATTTTCTTGCACTGTAGAAAATCCCTGGGAGTCTCTGTGTGGTACTTTGTAAAAATTAGGTTTGGTGTAATTGATTGGCATTGTCAGAGTTCACACTAGTGTCAGGGAGCATGACATCCGATGGTGTCAGATACATAGGTTCCAGATAGAGGAGTGTTGTCATATCCATGCATACCCGATCCCGACCTGACTCCTGGACCTCCATCTTCACCACCTCCAGAGTCCTACCCTACTGCCATCTGTTCCGATATTCACCTTCGGTCCTGACACCACACCTCCTCTCACCCCTCATGCCATCTCCACTCCTCTGTCCTTCTCCTGCCCTATCTCCATCCGCTCCGATACTCACCTCGGACCGAACACCACTCCTCTCGCCACCCTCCTCCTACTCCTCCTCCCACTCCTCCTCTTCCTCCTCACAACACCTCCACCCTTCTGTCACTCTCCTACCCTTCTCCCGTCTGCTCCGATACTCACCTTCGGACCTGACACCTTTCCTCTCCTCCACTCCTCACCCCTTTCCTCTCTCCTCTCTCTTCCCTCTGGCCCTCTTCTGCCAACCCTCTGCCAAGTTACGACCTTCCACCGCTGTCCCATACCCCGTACCCCGTACTCGGACACCACTCGTACCTTCGCTCCGAGACTCCATTATAGTTCCTACCTCAGACTTTGACTCCACCTCGGCTTTAGTCCATTGCATTGGTGACCTCATACTATGTAAACACCATTTGGTTGGGGTTGGGTTGGTCCTGGCCCGTTCAACCACTGCCACTCGTGTAAGGGATTAACCTTACTTCACTATAATTCCGATTATAGTGATATTTATATTATGTTGCATCACTATAATTCCCATTATAGTGATGTGTTTATTTCTTTATTTATTTGTGCCGAGATATGTAAATTACATATATATACCTTGGAGTAGTTGTAAAGGCCCGGTAGCCTTTTACCTCTACCCCATTGAATATACAGCACATTAAAGCTTATATTTAGACGGACTACCTGAGGCCTGAGGCGAATGGGGGAATGGAACGTACCATCCCCAAAATAGTAAGCAAACCTTTCAACTCGCCAACCCCCAGACCCCAGCCATAGGACGAATGTTACGAAAATGGGGCTGGAGGCACCCATTTTCGTCCATCCTAGGCGCAGGAAGAGGGAAAGGGGTAGAAGTTGAGTTCATTCAATTTACAATAGATATGGCAGGTGTTGTTATAGAAGTTATCACAAAGACATGATTTTGTTAATGATTGATTGGTTCAACTTAATTACTATACAAATCATGTGATACAGAATCCATAAGAGTCTAAAATTGGAAATTCCCATTTCCATAACAACGAAGCTTCGTGAGCCTGACCAATTTGACGGTACTGACCCTCAGAAACTCCATACCTTCCTTGTTCAGTGCAAACTCAACTTCCAGAACTGCCCCCAAGCGTTTGCCAACAAGCATACGAAAGTCATTTACACCACATCATTCCTCAAGGGGATCACTCTGAGTTGGTTTGAGCCTGAACTTCTTCACGGTAACCTGCATTGCCGTCCACGTTGGATGGATGTCAGGGACAGCTCCGAAAGCAGCGAGGTCCCAGCATGCAGGACTCGGTGGGACGAGTAGTGGCTGTGCATAGCGGTGATCTTGTCGCGGGGTGAGCGTCCCCGACCACTTAGTCTGAAGTGGGAATGTGAGTTATTATTAAAAGGGAAGGCTACACTACTTGCCTGAAGTGGGAATGTGAGAAGAAGGCTACTTCTTCGGTTCCCACTCCAGTTGTTATTATATACATGCAGGATCGGTCACGTGGGGCGCGCCATGTCACCCTCGCACACAGCCACGGCTCTCCGGGTGCCTCCGCGGGAGATCCTGAGAGGGCCCACTGTGGGTGCGGGGTAAGTGCGGCGGCGATGGCGGCGATATAGGAACGGTGAGATACAGGAGGGGAAATGGGCATGCATGCTGGTGATACATTGAGCAGTGGGAAAGGTGGTCCATGTGAGAAAGAAAGAAAGAAAGAAAGGAAGAAGGGGGAAAGGAGAAAGGAAGAGGGAGAAGCAGTGCGGAGTGGGGGAGCGGAGCGAGGGTCGGGCAGGGCATGCCCTGACAATGGATGACTATGAACTCTTCGTCCAGTATGCCCATTGAAGTCACTGATGGGTGCCCCCATATTCTTCGTCAAGAAGAAGGATGGGTCCCTGTGCCTAGTCCAAGACTGTCGAAAGCTCAATGAAATAATGGTCAAGAACTCGTACCCCTCCCACTCATTTCCGATGTCCTCATGTGCCTTCAAAACACAAAGTATTTCTCGGTGCTGGATCTGCACTGGGGGTTCAACAACATGCAGATCAAAGATGGCGATGAGTGGAAGGTGGCATTTGCGACTAACCAGGGCCTGGTGCCGGGGGCGGTCTGTGAAGCTCGGAGGTAGGAGAGCTTACAGAGGTGGGGTTGGAAGTCCAAGGAATATTGGCAATGGTGTCTATGTGAAATGAGGTCACCAATGCAATGGACTTAAGCCGAGGTGGAGTCAAAGTCCGAGGTTGGGACCATGATGGGGTCTTGGGGTGGTGTCTGAGTTCGGGGTACAGGATGGGAGTGGAAGGTCGTACCTTAGCAGAGGTTGGTCGGGAGAGAGTCAGGGGGAGAGGAAGGTGGTGTCAGGTCTGAAGGTGGAGATCGGAGTGGATGGGGATAGGGTAGGACTCCAGAGGTGGTGGGATGGGGATCCAGAAGTCGAATTGGGATCGGATATGTACGGATATGACAAGTAGTACCCAAAAACACCATATCACATTGTCAATATATGTACAGAAATCCATGTCAGAAACCTGCTACATTGTTATGCCTCATTGTAGCTAATGCAAGTTGCCAAACCCTTAGCATTTCTGCAGAGGATGATGCTGCTGCAAGATGTGGTGAGATGAATGATATCAACTGTTCCTCAACTTGCTGGCTCAAGTCATCATGAACAACATGCACTGTGACTGCATGATGCACATGTCTACTCCAAGACTCTGGGGCCTATGAGGATTTAAGTGTTAACACTGAGCATCAAATGTGCATGACACAGACCTGTAAGGCTTCATCTTGAACATCACCATCATAATGTGCCAGATCTTCACTGCTTAACACATCACCCTGAAGCCTTTCCCTATCAATGGCATCATATTCCACCCTCACCATATCCTCTTCCCATATCATGTTCCCCCGTATCCCTCTGACCAGCATATCAAATCCAAACATATCAATAGGGCTTCTGCCTCGTGCTCCTTGGATTGAGATAATGTGGTGGTTCCACATTTGCACAAATTCCCCAATATGTGCATTGAGGGCATTTAGAAAGAGTTTGTGGAGCAGCCAAAGGTGGTTTGGCTGGTCGACATCCAGGCCTCCTCTTTCTTCCAAAAGTACAAAAAAGTTGACCCACCATGACCCTGCCTGTGTTGTCCAATCATACCATATGCGTTCAATCCTAGTATTATGCACACTCCTATAGTAGATTGTTTAATGGAGATGATGTAACATGAAGGTTGTCAGATAACCCACCGTCCAAAGATATAAGACTGACGGCCACTGCCACGGTGGTGCTCCATAAAGGCTGCCACTTGCACATTCTCCACACCATGGTCACCACGGACACGTGATGGGAGCCCATAGAGACGTACTCCATCAAGAAATAAATCAAGGACTGTGTTGGCCCTATTGTTGTTGCTTGCTCGCATTGCAGTGATCATTCGTGAATGGCCATCAACAAAGGCATGAACAACAATTTTCCACCTAATAAGCCCTATGTGCCAGGTCATCTCACTCCTTGCAATCAAGCAAGTAGGAATGCTTACCATGCTGGCCATCATGGTGCCACAGGTAATTAGGCCCTGGAACCTGATATTTCCGGCGTCTAAGACGAGGATGGCGAAAAGGACGATGGACAGGGGATATTCTGTTTAGAGCCTGGCGGATCCGTTCTCGTGGTACATTCTCCCCTCTCTGGCGAAAGTGTCCATGAAGCATTGTGATGCCTGAATTTGGAAAATGCTGTCGAAGGAGCTGGATCTCATGTTCTAGTTCTTCATCTGTCCATTGGGAGACAGGTGTTGTGTATGAGTGAATTTGACTATATGTGACAACTCCTGGGTGTTCAGGAGAGACTGTTCGCAGAATGGGTGCTTCCATTGGGGAACGAATTCCATACTCTATCATGGCCTTTGCAACTGTGGGAACAGATACTCCAAGAAACTTCACAATTTGTGAGGTTGGTCGGTGATTGACTGCCCAAGTTAACCACTCAGCATTGATGATGATTTTTGGCTGCCCTGCATGTCCTGTATGCAATCGTGTAATAGGATGTGGGGTACCATAATGGGCAGAGTTTTCGGCATCATTGTGGCTTTGGGAAATGTCAGCTTGCAAGAAGATGAGGTTTGACTGTATGGCATTGATTTCCTCATTTGTGAACAGGTGAAAATTCTGAGTAAATCAGTCTTAGGCCAGCAGGGATGTGAGAGGATCATACTTGTGAAAATGTGGTTCGAAACACATCAAGCCTATTGCTGATCTGATTGATCACTCCAGGATCATTGTGAGGCAAGACAGTGGAGCTGTGAACCATCTCTTCCAGCTCATGGTACCAGATGCGGAGGTTCTCAACAGTAAGTGGTAGGTCCATGGCCAGACTGACGAAACAGTTTTTGATCTGAGGATAAGTCACATGACATGTCAATGCTTTTGTCTCCTATAATGTTTGGGCTTTGACAATTTCGATGCATCTATTATACAATTATTTACAGTGGCTGGACTGTTAGAAGAACTAGAATCATGATCATGGGGTGTGGTCCAGAGGGTAACTCCAAGGACCAGGGGAAATGAGGGGGAAGAGTCCCATTTCCATTTCAACTGTCAGAAACTGTGTTCGAGGTGATCGCGGGAAGCGGAGCGGAGTACGGCGGCGTAAGTGGTCACTTAGCTAATGAGCTACTCCGTTGCAAGGCATTGTGGGGGTTGGGACTTCGGCTTCAACGACTTGGCCAGAGTGTTGCGCCACGCGTTCTAGGCTGTCCCATATTTCATGTAAGTGGGAAAGACCTTGTGGCAACATTGACTTAAGCGGGGATGAAGTTGAGAGGCGAACTTAAGGTGAGGGTACTTGGGGGGGGAATTCTAGTCGATATTCGAACTAAGGTACATCGACAGTAACTACAAGTATAAATATGAAAGGAGAACAGAGAAGGGACCGGCCGGTCTGGCGCAGGATGGGAGCGGGATGATAAGTACGACAGAACTAAAAGAGCGATGAGGACCAGGGAAATGGAACAGAAGAAATGAATGGAACAGAGGACGGCGAAGTTGGGAGGCAGAATGAATAGGCCAACAATCTAGGCGCATGGATCAGAATGTCAATATACACATAAATCAAATGTCAATAAGGAGTGGATCAATGGCGACCATATCAACCGCTAGTTAGTTAAGCGAATGAATAGAATAAAACGGTATCGGCCGAATGGCTGAGGAACTCAAGTGGTGGTGGGGGAACGAAGGAGGTGCTGCTACGGGGCCGTAGAACGGGAACCACTATCGGCACCGCTAAGTGATGGGCAGTGGCGAGATTAACGGGCACGAGAATGGGGGTGCAGAAAGTGGTAGAGGGGTGGGGAATTTGCGGGGCCGTGACATCAACTAAATGTCACTGGATAAAAATAGGATAAATCAGCTGAAAGTCATAGCGCAGCTGTACATGCAGTCTGAATTCAGAATGACTATCAGAAGAACATTCCTTGGATAGGTCCGATTGCTATCCAGGCGACGCTGTCTCGGTACTTGAAGGGACTCGGCTTCAGCGACTCGGAATGGAGCGCTGCAAGCGGGCTAGAGATCTAACCCCCTAAATGCGAGCTGGTGGACGTTCAGTCGACACGGTCACGAGAGACTCCATTCCTGTAACAGATGGGCCCGAAGGTAGACTTGCAGGGCAAGCAAGTGAATTGCCCAGCTGGGGCCACTGTGGGAAAGTGAGAAGTTAACCTTCTTCTCACTTTCTTACCCACAGTAGGCAAGTGTATCTACTTGCCCCTTTGTTTATATCACTTTCTTACCCACAGTAGTGTTATGCCATGAGATGGGCTGCTGTTACAGGTTAGCCTGTGGGCCATAGAGAGGGGTCATGGGGACCCAGGGTCCATCCCCTGACACCAGGTTCAAGCATCAGAAAATATTTAAAGACTTCCATTGGACAAAATATGTAAAGTAGTCAATGTAGCTAATCCTGAAGTTAGGATAAATGATTAGTGTTGATAAAAAGGAGGGATGGACAATAATATGATGATTCATGTGAAGGAGCGAAGAAGTTCATAGTAGATAGGTGATGAATGAGAGTCTAATAATAGTGAGAAGACTACGAATAAAATAATAAACTGTCTACATAAATATCTAATCTACTGCACTTGATAGTAGCCTTGAAATCACATAGTTCCACCCATACTTGCTTCTAGAGATATCATTATTGTTGCCAGCATCCAGTTGTCAAACCTGGCCAGTCGCTCACCCAGGGGATTATTGTAAATAATGTCAAGAATCACAGATGAGTGAATGCTAAGACACCCAAAGCATGTTTGAAACCGAATGCCAGAATCTGAGGCATTGTGAGACAATTCCCCCATGGAGTACCCAAGGGGGACATCAGTGATTGTTACCTAAGGAATAGAGTCAGATAGTATTGTGGGAAATTAATGATGAAAGTGAATACTTGAATTCTTTGTCCACTTAGAAGTGAATCCGATGCTGTTGCACAGCGATAGAATAGCTGGGATCTGAATCCAGGATGTTCGAGATGGGCTGAAAGGTCCTGATAGCCAATGTTGGATGACAAAGTAGTGAGGCCAAGAGGATCATCATTGGCACTATGAAGTGGCCACCCAGTTCGCTGCAAGAATCCCTCAATTAAGGATTTGAAATTAGAACCTCGGAATTCAGAATGTTGGCGAAGGAGACCAAGAGCCCGACGAGGCTCCACAACCCTGAGGACAGGAAGAAGGTCCTCATATGTTTGGATTTGCGATGTGTTCAAACTGTCAAGGAGGGCCTCCCATCCACCAGAATAATGCTTGCAAAGCTGCAATAAATCAGTCTACATTTGGTATGTTTGGTGATAAGCAGAAAACTCACCTCACTGAAGCGAAACCCATTTGAGCATTGGAGGTTCAGACCAGCTCTGAAAGCCCTCTCCTCATCATTCATTCCCACCAGAGTTGGGCCTTGTATGCATGCGAGGAGTAATTTTTGCGAGAAAACTGCTCGTGCCTCTTCAGATGTGATCATCGGTCCAGCTGTTGCTGCCTTCAGATATAACGAGAATTACTCCTCACCCAACTAAACGAAAGACAAAGACAAGTGTACTTACATCCATATCAAGGTATGGGATAGCAATGGACTGTATGGCAGTAAATGAGCCACTGGCCTTGAATTCCTCAAGCACAGATGCGAGCATTGGGTGGTGCTTGGCAAGGATAGTGTCACTGATGAGCTCATGCTCCCCATAAGTGAGGTGAAGAAGCATAGATAGTATACAGAGCCGACGAGGCAGACGAGAGAGATGCACAATTGATAGGGTTGTGACAACCCCTCGAACAAAGGCTAGTTCTTTGTGCTCTCTACTGGCAGGTATACCCTCCAAATATACTTTAGGGAAAAAGATGAGTCGATCACCATATGAAGTGCGAAGCTGTGTGTTTTCAGGAGCCCTCGGGAACAACAGCTCACTGAGCTGGAAGATCACTTCACGAACAACCCCTGAACCCTGAGTGTTCAATGAGTTTTCACTAATAGAATAATTAGCCAAGGTGTGAATACAATAGTGGAGATTAGGCTCACATCATAAATGACAATTCATTTTTGACAAATTTATCGAGAAAAATGAGATTAGGATCATCATTGTAACAAGAAATTATCTCAGCCTTAAGCTTTGAGATGAGGTCGTCTTGGGTAGGAGCTGAGAGTGTGAAGCCATCTGGTCCAGCTGAATCAGACATCAATGTTCGCATATGTGCTCCAAAATCCGATATTGCTAGAACAGTTGTATAGTATACGATGGGGTGGTCATCATCTTGGTCACTCCGAATCTCAATTGTGCTGACTGATTCAGTCTCATCCTACAATGAATAAGAGTCATTTGACGACTACCTGATCCAGGGCCTGACAACCCACCAAATTGTCATTGTCGCCAACAGTTGAAGATGAAATAAGGGGGCCCTGAACAGCATACTGGACATGACAGGTATCACACAGTGCTGCATCTTGCATTGCAATGAGGTTGCCACCAAGGATATGTAAGAGATTCGGTTTGTCTAGAGCGAGCCCTCGATAGAGGTGAAGGCCGCTACAAAAATGAACAGAAACTGGTGGGGAAACTGTCCCCCCAAGTGAAGTCAACACCTCTGCTGGAAGAGGGCCTCCAAGGTGATCAATTGTTGGGACTAATTATATTATTTGTATTTAGTTATTAAATAGAATGAAAGCGCTCACCCAATCGCAGTATATGGGTTCCATCAAGTTTCTGTGAAAAACCAACAGGCCTGAACCCAGCTGCCTCATAAAAAATATGTTCAAGGGTCTCATTCCGAGCAGGCCAATAGTTGGTAAGACGACGAGAGGGGAGGTTAAATGTACTGATGACTCGCCCAGATGAGCGAAGTTGGAGCAAGGAGAATGAAGGAGCTGCCGAGTCATAAGGAGCATAGAAGCGAAATCCTCGTTGTGAAAGCTCAGTCTGGACTAAGGGCAGCAAGTCATGAATGAGGGTAGTCAGAGGTAAAGCAGAGAAATGAATGATACGACTGAAGTTTTGAAGTCGCTCATGAAGAGTCGGGGCAAGGGCCTCATGTAAGATCCTCGTTTGTGTGTATTCTCGTCGAGCCAAGTTTGATTGGTCATGGAGCTGACTGGCCTCCACCATGCTCATACGAACCTCAACCTACAGAAATTACATAATCAAATCATTTAGTCCATTACAAAATGAGATCACATACATCACTCGGGAGAAGGACAATTTCGAGGGAATCGATATTATTCCCAGAAATACCTGAGCGAGTAACTGAGGGAGAAATGCTTAATGATTCATATGGCTGGGCACGGCTTCGTCGCAAATTTGAAGCATTTCGGACCACTCCACTGGAACTAGTCCTGCGAGCATTAACTGTGGTCGTTGGAAATCCCCCTGGTGGAATCCCCCGAAATGCAGCAGGAATGGGTGCAGTAGACGAAACTATTGGGGCAGGCAAAGCCGAAGGAGTCCCACTGGAAGTAATAGGCTGGTTTGGAGTGTATGGAGATGAGTGACTATGTGGCACCGAGAAAATAGGAAGAGGAGGGGGAGCAGCAATTGATGGAAAACTAGGTGGATAAGGATGCAACTGGACCGACGAAGCAGCATGGGGATGGTGCTGTGCTGGCACTGACACTGGCACACTCGCTGATGAAATCCCTTGAGCCGAAGATGAGTTCTGTCCACTTGCTGGGGCTCCTTGGGCCCCGAAGTTAGGAGCTGGAAGAGATGGCAATTCTATCCCGAGTTGGCGAAGTCGCTCAGCACTACGAGTGAATTCCTCCTGAATCACCCTGACTGTATTGGGAGATAAATTGTTGGCTGTGTTAGACATAATAAACGAGTGGGAATTTGGGTGATAAGGGGCAAAACTGGTTGCCACCAGGGAAGCGATAAATGGACTCTCACGAAAGTTTTTCTCGGAGCTTGCCGAAAGTGCCACACAAACTTTGTCGTCCACTTGCCAGAAATATGAAGGACAATTGAACAAGAGGTGTTTTAGTTACTTTAATAAGTTTGATGCTAGAACAGGAGGTAGACAGGACAGAGTACACACAGTCTACGAGTCTTATTTTCCCCATCGGGAACGATGTGTGTCATTCACATGAGTCGCTCAGGGAGGAAATTCATCACAATTTATTCGGCATAGTTATGGAACATAAATCTATGTACATGGATCCCTTTGCCTCCCTGTGGCACAGTTTTTTGAATTTCCATGATGGGATTTTCACCGAGGCACTCATGATGTGAACACCCACCACCTGCATGACAGCGAATTCTTATGAGCTGGGCCTTACTCCTCGTGGGGGTTGACCAGCAGCTCAGGGTCAGTTAGATACTGCATATACAGGCAGAACATGCCCCGCGGTCCTTGGTGAGACACAGCCGAACGACCACCTGAAATCAGTATAAAACTTTTTGCCTTTGCTGGGTTCGAACCCACACCCATGCAGCTCCAATGTATTGCAACACTTAAGCCACTAAGCGATAGCACCATGCATTAATTCTAGCTCAACACACACACATCCTAGTAGGTTGATAGCCTCAGTGGATTCCCATATAATTTTGTTTATACCCTCATTCAACTCTCGCAACAAGTTAAACAGCTAAACCTCTAAGTAGCTGATATACTAAAGAGCGAATAATCCATCACAGCCTCAGCAATGTATACGAAGTATGTGGAGTATGCGATGTCTGTAAAGTCTGCAAAGTCTGCGATCTATGCCAAGTATGCAATCTATGCAAAGTCTGAATTGAACTATGGGAAATTGCCGACAGGGAGCTGAGGAAAGTGTGGGAACTAAGGGAAGTTGCCGACAACTCACAGTGTGCGAAGTGTGCAAAGTGTGCAAAGTATGCAAAGTATGCAACAAACAATGGACAACATGCAAATGCAGAAATTCTTTTCGGTAACTCATTTCATAAAATTCGGACAACTCCGCTACAATACGCCTTTGGTTATGCTCCCATCATACTGGTGGGGTTTCCCGGACTCCTCTCTGTCATCCTGAGTGATATATGCGGCAGTTGGAGGCCAGCGCAACGCAAGCATCATTGCATCTCCTTTCTGAAATGTCCGAAAGGCTGACTGATATTTTATATCTAATATTGTATCTACGGACCATTCCTCGTAGACCTTCTCGACTATTTCGTCGCCTCAGGCACTAGAGCTGCGTAGCAGCACTGCTCAACTACTTGGATCTAGGTCCCGCGGCTGGCCGACAGCAAGCCAATGCATTTGTATTCGCCTCTTCGATAGATGGCACTACGTCTCAGAGCCGCCGACTGCGTCTTTGCCCCAGGATAGACCCGGGGTCATAGCTCCTTGCTAGTTGCACATATGGATGGGCTCTACAGATAATGACCGCTTCCTTTGAAGCTACAAATCAGGGGCTGAGCATTGCAGGGGATCGACATGTAAACTCCGAAATTCCCCTGCAATAGAAGCCTCGGCCCCCCCCGCGACATGGTTGTACTGCCTTCGCCGTTATCATCCCTACCGAGTGTCGTGATTGCCTTGTCACTTTCCTTGATCGCTTGGGGTAGCGTGCCTGGCCCTATTTTCCTTTACTTCTTTGATAACATTAGAAGTCGCTCTGATCGCTCACTTCACCGGACTACTGATGCTCAATGGAGAGGTCGGTAGGGGTGACTCATGCCTACAGGCCACGCTAGTCAGGGCTAGCTGGGGTTGAAATTGGCAGCAGGGTGGGCAGTGCGTGACCTGTACATACAAAGAGCAAACGAAACTTATAACATGAAGCAAATGTGACCAATGAAATTTGTCATTGCTATACTGCATGGTGGGGCCGATTATGATACAGGTTCACCCCGAGTGGTCGGATATGGGTGGCAGCGCAGCAAGTAGCTTCATCATACTCCTCAGCTTCCGCGGCCAGCCTTTGAGCCATAATTAACGATTTTGATTTTTCGTGTTCTCCACGGATCTCAATACCTTCCTTGCATGCATGACTTGACCTACGCCTGTTTCCCCGATCTTCTAGTTTCGAGCTAGATGATCGTGTATTCTAAATAACATCCGTACTCCGCTAGCGGCAATCTTTCGTTCATTCAGTATGGAACTGGGCCTTCATGTTCGTTCTTGGGTCGGAATTCATTGAAGTACATTCGCATTACAAATGGAAGCTACAATTCGGGGGATAGGATTCGAGAATCAAGTCTACACATACGAGACGGCGTGACACTTGTAATCAGTATTGAGATTCGTGCTGGTATCCGGGTTCGTATTCGTTGCGAGAACGTCGTTCATAACCACCTTCGTTATCGTCAAGGTTCAGGCGTTCGGCTCCGAATGTATCATCCCCTCCGCCTTGGTAGCCGTCAGGACGCTCATAGCCTCTACCTTCCTCGCGGCGTCTAGAACCATAACCGTATTCTTCCTCCTGACGGGGCTCAAACCCACTAGTATTTCTGCCACCACTGCCATAAGAGCCATTATAGCCTTCTTCACGACGGTCACGACGACCATAGGACTCTTCGTTGCGACGTTGGTAGCGAGGATTTTCCGCTCCGTAACCACCACCTCCATAGGGACTTTGAGTATATTCCTGACCCTGGCGACCTCCGCCATAACGAGCGCTTTCTTGTCCGCCGCCATATTCACCGCCGCTTCCATAACGAGAACCCCGTTCCTCTTCGCCATATCGACCACTACCTCGACCATAGGATGGTTCCTCTTCACGTCGTCCGTAGCTAGAGTATTGATCATCCCGCCGAGGTTTGTCTTCCTCTTCTTGTCTGCGTCCATAGCCTTCAGCATTTTCAATCTGGCGATATCCACCACCATATTCGGAGGGCTGAGTTTCATATCGAGACGATTGGTAACCAGAGGTCTGCACCCTGTCGTTCCAGCCTGAGGAGTACCCTTCTTGTGGACGATATTCCTGCTCGGCGCTATAGCCTTCACCATATGTTTCTTCGCGGCGCCGTCCCTGATTCCCATACTGATCGTAGCCTTCTTCTTCCTGAAGTCGTCCACCACGGCGCCCTTCATTCTCATACTGGTTATAGCTCTCTTCCTGATATCGTCCTCCGCCACGGCGTCCCTCATCCCCATACTGATTATAGCCCTCTTCTTCCTGGTGTCGTCCGCCACGGGTTCCCTGATCCCCATATTGATTGTAGCCCTCTTCCTGGTGTTGTCTCCCGCCACGGCGTTCCTGATCCCCATATTGGGTGTAGCTCTCTGCTTCCTGGCGACGCTTTTCGCCGTCACCATACTGTTGCCTTTGTCCATCCCCGGAAGCCTTATCCTCCTGTCCAGCGCGCTTATTCTGCCCTTCCTTCACGGCTTCCTAGAAGAGTTACGTCGCCCCGAATGAACGGATCGTGATGGATTGTTCTGTCTGACCTTAGTGAGATTGTTCAAAATGGTCTCCCGCTCGTCAGAGCTCAAGCCATCAACCCAACGGCGCAATTCATCTTCCATGTCTTTCTGAACCCTAGACCGACCACTGGCATAGTACGGATGATGGAAGGCCTCGAGGACCTATCATGAATGGCCGACATCAACGCCAGCTTCGAGTGATGCTCTGGAAGTCGGTGCTCACGGTGTCAATAACTCGGTCAATGTCCGCGTTCTGGTCGTACCACGCCTGCGAAACCACAAGGTTTAGCTATGAAAGGTAGAAACATTGACAATATTGAGGCAACTTGCCTCCACGATGTGTTCAACGGTGTGCCTGACAACAACTATGGCAACTTTTCCGGCTGGCTCATTAAGAATGAGCGCAAAGTGGTCCTGAACTACATGTTAACTTGTCATGACTCTCTGCAGAAGACCGCATTCCCGGACCTTCGAAAGAAGAGAATGCGAAGGATCGGAAGCATTTGGGTCGTTGAATACCTACACAGAAATATGAGAAGTTTACTGTGTCGTGATGAAGAATGCTTACTTGGAACTGATCCTCTTGATGGGCCTCAATGATGGCACCACTGCCTTCCTGGAGGTCCGTTGTCGCTTTTTGGAGGATTGGCTAGTAGTAGCACAGTCAAAGAGCGAGAGTATTGGTTGCACCCAAGGCTACTCACGGTTAAGAAGGGTTCCAAGATTGTGAACACATCTGATGGTCAACAGATTAGCAGTCTGGGGGACTCCGTCAAGAATGAAATAGGGTGTCACTCACAAACGTTCAATGCCTCAGTAAATTGATCGAGCAACTTCTCCAAACCAGGGATGTTTTCAATGGTTCTCGTAATATCTGGATGTCGAGAGTTAGTAACATTAGAAGGACTATTTTAACTGAACTTGCCTCTCATCAAGTCGTCTCTCCATACTAAGGCTTCCCAAAGCAGCTTTTGCACCTCCTGGGGAGTAACTTCATCAATCCTTCCTTGCAAATCAAACGCCTTGGCTTTTATATTTTCTCCCTTATTCAATTTCTCCTTGTCGCCTCCCCCCAAGCTAGGAATCTTCGAAAAAATGCTAATAACCTTGGCGATCGGTGAGTCGCCTTCGCCTGGGCCTGAATTGGCGGTGGCTGAGCTGAGACGTTTCGTAAGATCGGTGAGAGAAGCCTCGGAGAGGCGATCCGTTGCTTCGCCCAGGAGGGAGTGCAGGAAATCCGCTGAGCCAAAGGTTCCAGTGACAAGAGGTGGCACACGTCCGTGAGGTGAGTTAACCAGAACTGTAAATTCGCGTTCAGCCACCATCAGTAGGGAATTGCAAGGTCAATGCACCATTATCGCCAACATAACAGAAGACGTCGCGGTGTCCCAGTTTCCGAAGCGTCAATTCGCACCAGTTACCTTGGCAAAAAAAAGGTACAAGGAGTAAGTTCGACTGAGGGTCAAATTTGGGTTACTGTCGTCTCACTATGGGCGAGGAGATCCTCCAGCGTGTGTAACCCAGTCCCGAGAAGCCTGAACGCTTCGAATAGATCCTCCCCATCTTCCCCTTGGGCACGACGCCCGCGATCGATACATTCGCGGAACACTCTCTTCAGCAAACCCGTCGACGTGTCCCAGCCTCGATCCTCGGTCGCGATGTAGTTCTTGAGATAAGGACGTCATGTATCAGCGAAAAATCGCCCGAGGGATTGTGAGACTACCTGCATACCTTCATACCGTTGGATTCGTCAATCTCGAGCTCTTCTGGGTTGACGGGAGGGCGGAGTTTAGGATAAACGTCTCGAGGATCTTGGCCTCCCCCATAGCCCTTGACCGGAGGTTAGCGCTGCTACTAGATGCCGAATTGAAAACGTCTCACCCTCGGATTATCGATATGGGTGACAGGAAGGTATACTCCGAGGCGTTCAGCGGTGACCTCAAATTCTCCTGTTGCGTAGCCGAATGACATGGAGCTAAACGAACGACCATGACTTACATGCCCCTTCACATGGTTAACATAGAAACCTACGCTAAAGCCATCACGATCGTAACGATCGACTCCGGGGATAACTTAGTAAGACCTGAATGAACGCAATTCGTAAAAAAGAAGCCTGAAGGTCATTTCTTCATGCCTACCAGCGATATCCATCGCCTGTGAGTAATCGCAAAGGAAATTACCCAAGTAGACACGTTTAACATCCAAAGAAGTGAACTTGGTGCCTCGTGACGCCATCGCACCGGCAACACCTGCCAGGATGCCGCCAATGCCTTCGCCCAAGTTGATTCCGCCATGACGTCCTGATACGATCTTGTACATTTCTTTGAGTGTGTTCTCGAGGTCGCCATGTCGGAACGCCTGCGATGGTACAGGAAAGAAAGAGGTAAGCGATCAGAAATGTGCAAATGATTCCTTTCAACTCACTTTATCGCTAAGATAGGCGAAATCTGTACACATTAACATGGATCAGACTGAGCCGGGGATACATTGTAACAATGCGTGATGGGCAGCACTCACCTGTTCGAACGGTATGCTTCAGCTGTCAACGCACGCAAGAACAGCTCGGTGATGACATACCAGGTATTTCACCTGCTCCGAACGCAAAAGCACCAGGGGCAGCAATCGCAATGAGCAGAAGGGTGCAGAGGAAATAATACAGCGAGTGCATCGTGGACTACAAGTGTTTGCGTGCTCTGTTGAAAGGCGAATTTATCTGCAAGGTTGCTGAGAGATGGGCGAAGGCGTGAAGTGTCCGAATTTGAGGTAGCCAAGCCAGTCCAGGCGGCGTGGGAAACGGTTCATAATTGAATCAGCCACACACTCGAGCGCTTGTTCGGGTCTTTGGTCCCGCCGCCGAAAAAATCACAGCTTTCGATTGATGAAATATCATATCGCCCCTGCCCGCAGCAACAAATGCCACGCCAGCATGTCGGCCTCTTCACAACAACGTTACACCCAACCCAATCGTTGAGCACGATTCACCATGCAAGGACAATGCCAGTGGCTGGTCATAGAGGATGTACATGGGGAGTAGCATTGATTGTGGGGTTGAATATCGTGCAGCAGAATCCAATATGCGAGATTGCTATAATGTATACATTCTAAAGCGACTCAGAGCTCATAGCTATAATTTTGAGTCTAGGCTGGGTGTGGGAGGTATTACACCCTTCATACGTATCATCTCCATAAGAGCATCGATAGTGGGTGTCGGAACTCCATGTGCTCGACCTAAACGTGATAGGTAACCATTGATAAACTCAATTTCGGTCTGTCGTCCACGCTTCACATCTACAAGCATAGAAGAGAAATTCGTCGATGTCGTGCGCATGACCCGAAGAACTTCACTCTCCAACGACTTGAGGGAAAAAAGGGAGACGAATGATTTGGGACTCTCCGCGTTTTTGCCTTTCTGGCTTTCCGCTTCCGCCGCGAATACCTGAAAGGCTTCGGAACACACTTGACGGACGAGTCTGCGGGCCGACGGGTCACCATAGAGCGCGCCATTTCGGCACTCAAGCAGAGCGGTAAGCGGTCCAATGCACGCATTGACGACCAACTTTTTCCCCTGCATACTCTTGAGTTCATCGTACGGGACCCACTTTGGGTCCAACTCCGTGCACCTAAGGAGTGCGCGCAAAGTTTCAGCAAGCGACCAGAATTCCGGATCGTCCGTGTATCTCGAGGCGCCTGAGATGACAGAAGTGTCCAGTGGAGGGGCTTTCCCCGTTGCAGCGATCTCAAAAGGGTACGATGGCTCAAATCCACGTCTGTTAAGTGGGTCTGGCACGACTGCGAAGTGAATACTCCCCGGTCCGGCATGCACAACGTCATGGACCCCTTTCGACCACACCCCGTGAGTGGTTGTACCAATGATGAAGTGAGGGCGCATTGATGGCTGGGGGAAAACCTCTGACGCAAGTTGTTCGTATTGGCCCATACCATTCTGCAGGAGGACAATGGTACTAGAGGGGCCCAATCTCGGTTTGAGCGCCTTGAGGGCTCCTTTGGTTGATCCTGCCTTCGTGGTGACAAGTAGTGATTGGATGGTCGAGGTGTGATATGGTGGGGGGTGGGAATGTTGTATTGGAGCCGGAGTTTCCGTTGAGGATGTGCGGTCAGGATCCATGGGCCGTATATCCCTTCCAGCAGATCCGGGGGGTTCCGGACGATGTAACGTGCGTATTCGTGACAATGCATGTATCCCATCGGTAACAGGGTCATGCACCTCGACGTCAAAGCCTCCGATTCTTCTCCGCACTCCTCCCGACTCGACACATATACTCGCTTTACCCTTCTCGATGCCGCCCTCACGATGCCGCAAGTCCCTTCGGAAAGCATTCCTCTTGACAAGAAGACAAACAGTGTGTTTCGGGGCTGGGTTGGTCTGTCGGAGATGAAACGCGAGCAATGATCCAATTGATCCAACTCCAAGGCAGTGAAAGCGCATCTACGCATCACCCGTTGCTCAGAACAGCCTAAATAACTGAGCGCTCCACAACTTCTATTGGAAGCTCAGAGTTGCGGGGCTCCAGATGCAACGTCCTCCTGCATGTCAAAGCACGTGTATTATCAGTTACATGGTGGCACGAGACGGAATGAACAACCGAGAACTCACAAAAATTGGACCTAGCTACGTTAGCGCGCCAGGAGTAACGCCAATACGTTGTGGTAGATCGTATTTACGAAAGTGCCTTGTGGAAATTGGGAAACAAAAGTTCCCAGTGTCTCACGTGCCGGAACTAACCGATCCACAGCATTCAAAAATCTTGCCTGGGCTGGTTGTTCGACCATGCCCACAGAACAAGCGCCCCAAAAGCCTGTTCGTTCGAAAGGGAAGAAAAAGAATGTTAGTTCCAAGGGGAAGAATAATAGTGAGGCAGCGAAGGATATGGATGCGCCTAACAGCCTACCCCCGGCACGCAAGAAAAGGAAGGAGCGTCAAAGGGCCACAGAACCCAGATGGGACTGGCAGCCAATCTCCCCCTCAACGTTATCAGATGTTCCACCTCTTTTCTCCAAAGACGCAAGGTGAGCTTAAGTTTAATTTTTTGGATGCGACACGCTCGAGAATTTGTTTTTCCTGACTCATTTTCTTCCACTCTGTTCCCAAGATATATCTTCGTGGTTCAGGGAGAAAATATCAATATCTACTCTAATGCGACGTGTCGCATGGTTTCCTTGCTTCCGTTATCTTCGAACTCTGTTCATGGGATGGACCACGACGCTGTATGCGGTTTATTACTAAATCCCCACAACCCATATCAGCTTTATGTGATCATGAAGCAGGGTAGAATACTCGTGTGGGACTACATGGATGCAGTTTTATTGACAACGTTTGACTTTGGGATGAACATACTCGCCATCTGCACTCACACCAGCCACGAAGACTCGCTGTTCATAGCATGCCCCCATAAAAGTAGGCTCCCCAAATACCTTCGTTATCACTCACACTCGCTCAGCCTTTTGCTCAGCTCAGTCATGCTACGAAATTTTTCGCGTCACCTTCTGGCCGAACTTGGCGTCAACGTCTGCATCATCTCAGGGTTATGAACTGACGAAAGTTGGGGAGTTGCCAAAAAACCTCGAATCATGGGGATTTCGTCTTCTGGTTCCTGGCTCGTGGTCGTCGTGGGTGCATCAGTTTGCCTTCTCAACCTTAAGGATGCCTTCCAGGACGCAGAAGACCAGCATCTCGTCGAATATTCTGTAGAAGCTCATATTACTGCTTTGGCGTGCCATCCCGGCAAAGAGATTTTTGCCACAGGTGATGAGAGGGGCAAAATTGAGATCTGGTTCTGCCTGAACGGGTCTCAAAAGTCTGGGAAGTACCGGAACGCGCCCACTAGCACTATGCACTGGCACTTTCAGCCCATGAAGGCCTTGACTTTTACTGCTAACGAAAACACCTTATTGAGCGGTGGTGGAGAAGGAGTTCTTGTTATATGGGATGTGGAGAGTCAGAACCGACAGTTCATACCGCGTGTTGGCGCTGCCATCCATTCCATTGTCGCCGTTCCCTCGAATCAACTGCGAGACCAGGAGTATGTTTTGGGACTGAAGGATGGTAGCATGTTATCCATAGATGCTGGCGGAACATCCATCTCTAGATCTTTTCCTCAAGTAAAAAACAGTGCGTTGTGGAGCTATAGGCTAGTCCTAGGTTCAGTGATACTGATCAATACTTCTCATTAGCGAGTCTTTCTCTAATCCAAAATCCGACACACATACCCTTGGATATTCATCCTTTTACATCGCATATCGTGATGCCGTCATCATATCCATCTTGTCTCCAGATATACTCAAAGCGAGACTCCGAATTCATTGCAGAACTGGAAGTCTCGCCATCGAATCGAGTTCTATCTGGCGAAAAGTACCGTCAAGTTGTTCATGCCAGAGTAACTCATGTTGCGATATCCAAAGGGGGGACGGACGCTAACCACAACGGAGAATGGATGGCCACAATAGATCATTCTCCCGACGGTCGGTGTTTCACATCCCAAACTATTCTCAAATTCTGGCATTGGGAGGACAATGGAGGAACGTCTTTTGCCCTTCATACACGAGTCAATCATCCCCATGGAACTTTCGGCGTCACATCCCTCTCTTTCAAACCTTTTTTGGCTCGCAAGGACCCCTGCGTACTTGTAACCACCGGAGGGGATGGAACAGTGCGGCTCTGGAGCCTCAGCTCGCAAATTGACAAGGCCGGCAACATCATTTGTGAGCATTCCATTTTGTTTCCCCCGGATTTGGTTCACCATTCCGTCGTAGTTCTATGGTCGCCACGTTCAAGACTTAACTATCGCAACCAGATACCTGCAAAGGCGGTGTGGTCTCCAGATGGTTCTATCATCGCGGTTGGATTTGGACCATATCTAACCTTGTGGGATACCTTCTCCCATACGCTACTTGATTCTCGGGTATGTATAGAGGTCCCCCTGGTGGATGATCTGTGTTTTGTTGGGCGCGATGGCAAGCAACTCGCTGTTGCCGGCTCGGGAGGGATCGTTCTTTGGGATCTTATTTCCAGATCGAGTGAGTGATAACACCCACTCTTCCTATCTTCTCTCTGGGGGTCTTACGTGTTAAATCCAGTGCTTTGGCACTTCGCGGAACAGCTATCGCGACCACTATTATGCTCGCATCCTGAAAATGAGTACTTTACACTAGTGTATCCCACGCAGCGTGAAGGGACCGGTCGAGCAAGCGTCTTTGGTATCTCTTCATCCGAGCCTTTGCGTTCCAGGATGCTACCCGAGGTGCCTGCGACTCTGATATGGAACACTGCTGCCGAGCCGACCTTGTCCCCGGATATGTTCTCACTTTTGGGTGTTACCAGAAGTGGGACTGTTGTGGTTCTAGGTGATCAAGTTGGACCTGCCAGGAATGCCATCACAGAAAGCGTTCCCCTTTCAAACGCATCCGTTTCGATGAATTCTAGATCAACCCTTTTCCAAGACATCTTTGGTGAATCGGCTCTTGGGATGATGGGCGAGCAGGCACCATCGGATCCACCTTCGATACCTTCCACGGCTGTTTACCTTCCCCTCAATCTAGACCCACTCGAAGGGCCATCACATCTCCTTCCACCAATCGAAACACTTTTCGACACCCTTATTCGCGGGTTTTTCGGGGAACGGCCCCCAAAGGTTTCGCCCACCACGTCGGTGGCGCAACGTCCGAAGGAGATTGTTCCGATCACTGAGGATGATGACATGGAGTTGGATAATAAAGGACCGTTAGATCCTCACCCTGCACGCAGGCAGGTCGGTAAGAGGGAGTTAGATGTTTTCACTAACCTCTTTAAGACGCACACACTGAATGGTATGTTAACACATTTGGTCATTGACGACCGCTGGTCTAATGTTGTCTCGACCTCCAGCCGAGCTACCCTTGCCCTCTTCACCGCAAAAGGATTCTCCACTGCATTCAGTAGCGACGCCCAATGGTCCCACGGCGAAAGTCAATGGCACCGGTGCAATGGTCAATGGTAATCATAGCGCTGTTAGTCATACAAATGGGAGCGCATCGCATTCGACACCCAAGACGCCCAAAGTAGAGTCACGGCCCCACTCGTCGAAGGAGCATTCCAAAACAGATATCACTCAAAGTTCACCCGCTCCTTCGCAACCCAAGTCCACAGAGTTTTCACCATTGGTTGGGAAGAAACGGAAAAAAATCGAATCATAAATTCGTTAATTCATCATTTGTTTTGGTATCATTCACTTGCATGTTTATGTTTATACGCAACTTCTCTGCTCCAGTTTTCTTTCATTTTTCTTTATTTGTACGTTGCGCATAATGCTCCAAGCAATAGTTCTAATGAGACAATCGTCCTCCATCCTTATGGACATACCGGTTGACAGGAAATTGAACATAAACATGTACAGTAGGCGTATATGCAGGCACAATTGGATACACTGTGATGTGAACATGACGCAGCACAAGTAGAACAGAACAGAAACTATCGGTCACACAATAAGAAACAGATACATAGAACCATAGCAGCGCGTGAACGAGACTAAATGCCAATCGTGCTTTCACGGGGCCTTGAACTAGATGGAGCAAGCTCAGCGAGGGCCGCCAAGATAACCTCTATCGCATCTTCATCCGATCTTTGAGCCTCCTTCGTCTTCTCGATCACAATATCTTGAAGGCGTGGATGCGTAGCAGCATTGAAACCCATCTGCAACAGTGAAATGCCGATGGATAAGGAAACCAAAGAGAAAAAAGAAGGGGAAGGGAGTTTGAACGCACATCTTCCAATTGATCCCTTAGTCTTTCCGCCTGAAGAGACAAACGTGGACGAGCGCCAACATAAGGAGGCGGGGATGTCATAGTGACGGGCCTCGGCGTCGGAGAATTCATAAAGGCTTGCTCCGTTTGATTTAAAATTCCCCGATATTCAGGCGACTTGGGGACTTTCTCGGGCGTACGGGTGGCGCCGCGAGTGGATCTGTTCCGCTCCAGTTCATCAACCTCTGCATCCGTCAGATACATGTCGCGCTCCGCACGAGCACGTTCGAACTCCTGTCTTCGTTGCTCTTCTTCACGTTCTTCTTGTTCCCTTTGGCGAGCCTTGCGCTCCTCCCGTGGCAATACGCGCCTTCCAGTACTAGAGGAAAAGGGAGGAAGACAAGAAGTTGTACAAGAAATCAAGAAACATTCATCATTGGGTTCAGGTCGCTATCAGTTACAACAACACAGAAGCACAAGAAAATAGAAACACAAAAGCTCACATTCTCTCAATCTCCTGATCCCGAGCACGCCTTCTCGCCTCCTTTTCTTGCTTCCACTTCTCCTTCTCTCTTCTATAATTCTCCTTTGCAATCTCCAACGCCGTCTTTCGGTCGCTCAAATCACGAACTGCGTCTTCACGACCAGAAGGAGCTGCCACCGTCGTTGCGCCCGCGACGGGTATGGCGGTAGTGTTCAATCTGGGGTCCCAAGGCTGAGCAAGGACGGCGCCAGGGGCCGTAAGGGGTATAGCGGAAGGAGTAACGGTTATTTCAGGCTCAGGAGCGGGAGTGTAGTACACTGCACCATAAGTAGGATAAGCACCGGCTGGTCCCCGCGGGACTGAGCCAGATGGAGCCCGAGAGCCCTGACGAGCCCGTGATGGATAGCCCCCGAACGGCAGGGCCTCAGTGCCAAAGTGGGGTTGAATGTGAATGGCCTGCTCCGGAACTCCAGGAGTGGGGGCAGGGTTGCACCAGGAGGCGGCGGGGGTCCGGGAGGTGCCGGTGGGAGCGGAGCACCATAATGTTCGCGACGGCTGCCACGAGGACCACGGAAGGGAGGGGGCCCGGCAGGGGGTTGGAACCTTGGAGGCTCTGGCCAACGTCCACGGGAAGGGAGAGGACGGTGGTGCCGCCCTTCTTCGTACGCAGCGGCTGCTGATGCAGCAGCTAAACCGTTCTGCAATGCATCAAAGATGCCTTGGAGAGCATCATTGAGCCCTGTGGAGGCATCATCAACACCATTTCGAGCAGCAACAGTGGCCTCAGAAACGGCATCATTCACGGTTTGAATTAGCCGTTGGCGCTCAGATTCGAGGTAATTATTATCTGTGGCAAGGCGAATGACCCGACGAACGCCTTCGGACAGCTCAGGATGTGTAGTGAAAGCGTTCGTGATCGCTTGCAACATCTGAGACAGGTCCCCAGCAATATTGGGCACAGAAGGCGCCGGCGAAGGCGCAGGAACCGTATCCAAAGACGTTGTAGGCAGGGGTGGATCCAGCGCTGCCGGGTCAGCCTCTGAGCCTCTTACAGACCTCGCACTATCAACGTGTTGCGCAGGAGTAGCAGATTCAGGTTGCGACGGTTTGTTTTTCCCTTTTTCGGCAGCTTCTGGCAACGGATGTGTTGTGCTGTCTTCGTCCTCCGAATCCTCGGCATTCTTTTCGGTAAAGACTTTAATTAACGTTGCAGTACTCCGAGGCGAGAGTGGGACGGGCCGAGACAGGTCGGGGGCGTGGTTCGCCACACCTATGGCAGCAAGGATGTTTAGGGCCTGGGCATCGAGACCTGGGATGTAAGGATGACCATTGACGTCATCAACGCTCCTCCACACCTCCTCATAAACGATCGCATCTGGCTTATGGTCATTCGGAATGGTTTCAACATTCTGCCACTCCTCAGAGGGCGTGGCTTCTTTGGACGCTTCCTTGGGGTGGTCGCCTTCTCCGTCCTCGTCTACCTGCTTAACAGCCGGAGTGGAAACTCTTTGCACAGTGAACCGCGCCACCTCACCGGGGCGCATGAAGCTCGTGAAGTAGTCGTGAAGCTCAGCTTCCGTACTCAGGGTGACTTGCTCATTATCGGAATCAAGATATGAGAGCTGAAGAAACAAAGGTTGAGAAGCGTGCTGGAAACTTGGATCGGGCGCTTGCTCGGGATACACTCACTGCAACATCGTCCTTAGGGATCCTGTAAAGCTCGGATATCTTGAACGACAACCAACCCCATGTAGGGGGGGATCCTTCGTGGGTAATCTTTCTGGTATGACCGTTGTGACCTATCTTTATAACGGTCATTGTCGATGGAGGTAGTGGAGATACAACAAGTTGTTGAACAAAGAGGATTTGAGTCTGTTTACAATGAACACGTGCACTATGTGGTTTATTCAAATGTGACGCGGTTATTTCCATTCAACGCCTCGTCAATTCAGTAGTAATCCCCTCGAGTATCGATCCTTGTGTGGCGGCTCTGACAAGGACAGCAGGAATCATACGCCTTGACACCACCCGCCTCCACCTCACGATTATGACATGCTAATTCATTGTTCTATTTTTACACTTCACGGAGGACGTTATCAATGTTGCGGTCGAGACATACTGTTTTCACTCGTGGCGTTCGAGTTAATATTTGTCTGTGCGTCAGCCTTCCAAGATCGGACCGTGCGCGGTGATTCTGCCATCTCTCCGACAACGCCATCCCGCAATAAGGGAAAAGCAGAAGTAAACGCAACAATGAATTCTCGTGCTTTGCTGCAACTAGCTCGATTCGTCTCAAGTATTTGCTCGCGAATACCGCTTGACTTCCGCTTGGCGACCAAACCTTATCATGTGCATGCTATCCGTGACTCAACGCCGGAGGTACGCCTTTGTCACCGCTTAGAAGCTTTTTTTGGTGCATCATCCCGACCCAAGCAAGCTCGTACTGATTCACCGGCTTGACGGCCACTCCAAGCTGCATCGCGGACTTCCCAGCCAAAAAAAAGAAAGGCAATCAGTATCGGAATTACATCTGCTGCACAGGACTTCATCACCTACGTGTAATGCGAAATCCGTGTTGCGCAGAAACTCACGAGCAGCTCGGATTACGTCTGCTTGACCCTTCTGCAGGATCCCCTCAGCCTGCTTCCCATCAGTAATCATCCCAACAGAACCGATTAACACATCAGGATTATGCTTCTTGACAGACTCCGCCAACGGAACTTGAAAACCTGGTGCAACCGTCATCCGTTGCTGTGCCCATAAGCCACCAGAGCTGATGTGTGCGAGATCCACGCCAGATTCATCCTTTAACAGCCTCACGAGTTGGGAAGTTTGCTCGACGCCCCATTGTCTCCATTCTCCGGAGGATTCGTCCCTCTCAGGGCCCTCGGCCCAATCATTCCCGGAGATACGGTAGAAAACGGGGTAAGACTCGCCGACCTCGGCACGGACTCGCTTGGCGATGTCGAGAGCGATTCGAACGCGGTTCTCGAAAGAGCCGCCGTATTCGTCGGTACGAACATTTGAGAGAGGGGATAGAAACTCGTTGATGAGGTACCCGTGAGCTCCGTGGATCTCAACAAAGTCAACTTGTAAATTTTTTTTTTCAAAACCAGACACAATCTCGTGGAGGGAAATTACTTACAACCGGCCTGCTTTGCACGACGAGCGGCCGCGGTGAAGGCGTCTTCAATATTGTTAATCTGCCGCTCAGTCAGAGCTTTTGGCTTAGGGTACGCATCTTTATACCGAATGGCAGAAGGGGCAACGACATTCTCTGGCCATCCACCTTCTTCAGGAGTTGCAACGGAGCTCCCAAACATGCTGTTGCCTCCGCCTGAACTTTTCTGAGCCCAAGGCGCTCGAGTGCTGGCCTTACGTCCTGCGTGGGCTAGCTGGATCCCAATAGTCGTCCCCTGAGCGTGGACAAAATCGGTGACGCGTTTGAGTTGGGGAATGTGTTTGTCCGACCATATGCCGTTATCCACTGGAGTTGTGCGGCCTTCTGGCACCACGGCTGTGGCCTCGACGCATATCGACCCGGCGCCGTGGATGGCGAAGCTCTTAGAATGGAGGGGATGTGCATGTTAGCCAATCTCACAAGGGCTGTGTTATGTATACTTACTCCAAGGTGAACGAGGTGCCAATCAGTCATAAGACCATCGATGGAACTGTACTGACACATAGGAGACTACGGTAGTTTGTTTGTGACGGGATATGGATTGTACGCAAGCTGTACGAGAAATTTGGCCTACCACCCAAAGTCGGTTCTTGAACGTCACACCCCTGATAGTCAATGGTTGAAACAGTTTTGGCAAGTCCTTGTTTTCTGGATGCTTATCCTTTGTAATAGCAAACGCAAAATGAGCCTCGTGAGATACGATCAAAATGGGCCCCATCAGTTTACTCACCGCTGGTAAAGGTGTCCCCGGCGGGGGCTCGCTCACTGGATAATACTCTTTCGCATTGGGTGCTGCAAGATCGCGTCATTGGTACACGCGGTGTGCCCTTCCAGGCCACGCACCATATTTATTTAGATAGGGGCCGATAACCGTGCGAAATCTCCTATCTCTACCCACTGGGGGGAATTTGAAAGATTTGAGAACGGACTGAGAGATGGGACTGGACATCCTAGTTGCGCCGAGTAAGCTCAAGATGTCTAGACTGTATGCTGGCATCAGCGAACACCGAAGGCTGCTATTTAATTGCGCGCATCGGCTCGATTCACCCGATAGCCAGGATTTCACTCTTGACCACCACGATCCTTGCAATCCCGCATGCTGTTATATGTGGTTGTACTGCATATCTCAGCAATCATATTCAATATGTCTGCATGGTATGCATAGTGGAAATCGGTCTATCGAAGTCAGAGGCTGCCTAGGAAATTGGATACATGTGTTTGGGCTACACGACCCTACCTTTCGGTTCTACAGGAAAAAGTAATTTCCATTCCCAGGACCTGGAAGGGTGTACATGTGGGGTATGGCAGTACATACTTTGGCAGTTTGCTGAATACCTAGTATGACAAGCGGCGGCAGCAATTCCATTTCGTCAACAACCCACACCCGATGCCGCTGGCAACATTTGTATTCTAATCACCTCTAGATGAGCCAAATCCGACCTCGTATACTGTATATGTCAAAGACGGCTGCTCAATTGGAAGACGTACTCGGACTGGTTCGACAGATCGCGTAGAATAGTTTTGCATTTGACCATGGCATATGAGAAATATGGATTTGAAGGAATAGAGAGGACTTATGATACGGCTATTGATGCAGTTGCAGTGAGAGTGATTGATTATTACCTCTGGTTGAAAATAGTTAATGATGGCTTGGGTCTTGATGATGCACCATGATGCAGTTGTCTACTAGCTCGTATGGCGGTTGGGGCGCTTGGATTCGGTGCTAGGTCCAGGTGTTCGATCTTCTTTTCGGAGGCGGGCAAGAATCGTTGCTCGTTTCTCTGATAAAGGATAGTACTCAATATAAGGAGTCATAAGGAAAACTGTAAGGCAAACCGCGTCGCACCAAAGTTTTTCTTTTGGCCGATATCTGGTTCCTCCTCGTCGGAGTCAGCCAAAGGATCCTTGTTCCATATTTGGGCCCACGTGGCTACAACGAATCAAAATGTATAAGACAACATAGGACTGATGAGGGAAAATCAACTAACAAGCAATGGCTCCTTGCGCTTCTGAAGTGGGAGTAGCCGGGTTGGTTGGGAATCCGTGGTGCCCTGCGATCGAGGTTAAATAGTGCAGTAAGGTGAGCATACACACCCTTCTCATCACCAAATCGGTCCGAGACGTGTTGTGGGGAGCGGTGGCGCGTGCTGTGTGTTTCATTCGATTGTAATTGATCGGCGTTTGTGACAGGTGTGTCAGAGTGTCCTGGGCGTTCTTCTTGAGATTGCAGAGGGTGCTCCTCTGCAGAGATCCTGCTCTTCACGTCATCCTCTTGCAATACCGAGGGGTACCACCTATCATGTACAGGGGAGTAACGAGACATGGAGCACTCGAGTTGACAATCGGGAGGGCGATCAAAATGAGTCAAGTGGCCCGGAGATGACCAAAGGCTGTGCAAGTTCCGATTCAAGCTGCCAGCGTCCACATCACTCTCTGAGTCCCATCCGAAGTCTTGGTCGATGAGTTACTCAGCTCCCAACGAGCACGAAACCAAGGAGACCCGAGCTTATAATCCTCCCCCTAGCTATGGAGTGGTCACTTCAAGACTGATGCCAAGCGTTCCTGACAGTCTAGGTTTTCCCACTGGGTACTTCATCATACGCAATATGGCGAACGGTCGCCTGTGGGATGTCTCCGGAAATCTCAAAGCTGATGGAACTATGGTGCACCTGTTTCGCGAAAAGGAGTATTCTCTTGTCGAAAGTGAGGTTCCGATGAGTCGTCTCATAGACTCTGATTCCGATTTGTTCTTCGTTTCTGCAAAGTTCTGAGAGATCCAGGGGCTGATAATCAGGAAGTCTCAATCTCATACCGAATAATCTTGCGTGTTAGCTGAAAGGGGGATCCATCCTGCATAGTTATTCTTCATTGACTACACTGGCGCCCTCTGTTCAAAGCCAACTGGACATGCAATAGACATTGAAGGTATGTCCCATGTTTTGTGTTTGTCATTCTCTTCCCTCATTAACTTGTGTACCGAGGACAGACGGTCGCCTCGTTCTTCGCTACCGTCGTCCAATGACTTTGCCGTTTCCTAACTCGTACTCACATCCACTGCCTCGGTTTGTCTATGATCCTTCGACCGGCCACATACTTGTCCGATTCGCATGCGACCCGTCCTATCCTCCGCCAACAGAGAACCCATCCCTTGCATGGAAAGAAAGGCAGTACCTTGTGACGGCAGTGCCAATGCCTAAACCTCCCTCTTTGTTGGCTAACGCTTCCCAATTCTTGGCGTCTGCCGCTTCAAAATTGACCTTCACTCCGGAAAACAATCCGCACGGCAATAGAGAAGATTTTGATTTGCGTCACGATGAAGTACTGGAAGAAGATAGAATCGAGGATGAAGTTGATGACGATTCTCCAGAACATAGGCGTAATATGCAAATCGTATCTATTCCCTTATTATCGAACGAATTGAGAGAGCCAGGGACTAACATTGGGAAACGCACAAGAGAGAGACGAAGGTGGGAGATTGTCCCGCTTCACAGAGAGAGAACTAAACCACGTTCCTCCCTTCCAATGAATCCGAATTCATGAATTAATTCTTTGTTCCTTCATCGGGGCTTTATGCTGATTATCTTTCGTACATGTACACTACTGTCACAATCTCGAATGCGATGCAACCTGGTGAAGTGCACGGACCGAGTCCCCGTGACTACACACGCCTGACTCGGGCGGAAACTGCCATATCGAGGTTTTTCCTCATCGCCTGATTGCGATCTCGTTTTCCTCCATCTCTCAGAGCCCGCTCACTACTAGCGGGTTGAAAATAAGAATCTTTGCGCACTTAAATCTTTGGTAGAGGGCAACCATGGTGTAAGTTTTGTTCCACTTGCAAGATCGGGAATAAGGTTTGGCTGATCGATGCGATAGTAACTTCACCGTTGGTGAGCACGTTGCGAAAACGTATAACGTTGGGGGTTATGTTGGTTTCTCAAAATGTTTTCAGACGAGATGAGGGCCCTTATGGACCAGCCGACAAACATCCGGAACATGAGGTACGTTTTGCGGTGTGCCTACTTCGTGCTGGGGTCTCGGGTTCAATCTTTGTTTTCCATAGTGTCATTGCTCACGGTACGATGAATACGAAAATGACAAATGTTTTCCGCTGATGCAGTACGAATTGGAACAGTCGATCACGGAAAATCGACATTGACAGACTCTCTTGTGTCGAAGGCTGGTATTATTGCTGGCAACAAGGCCGGTGAATTGCGTTTCACCGATACACGAGACGACGAAAAGGAACGTGGTATTACCATCAAGTCTACAGCCATTTCTATGTACTTCCAGCTGAGCAAAGACGACGTCACTGCCGTAAAACAAAAGACTGAAGGTCAGTATACAGTTTGACGAGGTGAATTTAATCGAATTTCTTCGATATAGGAAACGAGTTTTTGATCAACCTTATTGATTCCCCTGGTCACGTCGATTTCTCCTCGGAGGTCACTGCTGCCTTACGTGTTACGGATGGCGCCCTGGTTGTGGTGGACTGCATCGAGGGTGTCTGCGTACAGACCGAAACTGTACTTCGACAGGCCCTCACTGAACGTATCAAGCCGGTTGTCGTCATTAACAAGGTTGATCGTGCGCTGCTGGAATTGCAGGTCGACAAGGAGGCTCTCTTCCAAACCTTTTCGCGGACTATCGAGAGTTGCAATGTCATTATCTCAACGTACCACGATGTCGCCCTCGGTGATGTCCAGGTTTATCCTGAGAAGGGTACTGTTGCTTTTGGTTCGGGTTTGCACAGCTGGGCGTTTACCCTTCGTCAATTCGCTGCGCGTTATGCGAAGAAGTTTGGGGTAGACAAGGATAAGATGATGGTCAAGCTTTGGGGTGACAATTTCTTCAACCCTGCCACAAAGAAATGGACCACTAATCCGAAGAACGAGGGTGGAAAGGACCTCGAGCGCGCATTTAATATGTTCGTCTTGGACCCTATTTACAAAATTTTTGACAAGGTGATGAACTTCAAGAAAGACGAGGTTTGGGGAATGCTCGACAAGTTGGAAGTCAAGCTTCTTCAGGAAGAAAAGGACTTGGAAGGCAAGCCGTTGCTTAAGGTCATCATGCGCAAATTCTTGCCAGCTGGTGACGCTCTTCTGGAGATGATTGTTATTCACCTCCCGTCCCCCTCCACGGCTCAGAAGTACCGCGTCGAAACCCTATACGAAGGACCCATGGATGACGAATCCGCCATTGGAATTCGTGATTGCGATCCCAAGGGACCTCTTGTTCTTTATGTTTCCAAGATGGTGCCGACTTCGGATAAGGGTCGCTTCTACGCTTTTGGACGCGTCTTCTCTGGTACTGTTCGTGCCGGTCCAAAGATTCGCATACAGGGTCCCAATTTCATCCCCGGCTCCAAAACCGACTTGTTCGTTAAGTCCGTCCAACGTACCGTGCTCATGATGGGCCGTTATGTAGAGCCTATCGAGGATTGTCCAGCTGGGAACATCGTCGGTCTTGTTGGCATCGACCAGTTCCTTCTGAAGTCGGGTACCCTCACTACTAGCGAGACAGCGCACAACATGAAGGTCATGAAGTTCTCCGTCTCTCCCGTTGTCCAGGTCGCCGTCGAAGTAAAGAGCGCGCAAGATTTACCAAAGCTTGTCGAAGGCCTTAAGCGCCTGTCCAAGTCGGATCCTTGCGTGCAGACCTGGATATCGGAGAACGGTGAGCACATCATTGCTGGTGCTGGCGAGTTGCACTTGGAAATTTGTTTGAAGGTTCGTGTCAGGCTCCTCGGTTGACTACACGATCTTCATAACTCGCCACACAGGATCTCGAGGAAGATCACGCCGGTGTTCCATTGAAGAAGTCAGACCCTGTCGTCGGTTATTGTGAGACTGTGAAAGCGGAGTCGTCAATAGTCGCCTTGTCTAAGTCACAAAACAAGCACAACCGCATGTACGTGAAGGCTCTTCCTCTGGACGAGGAAGTCACTCAGGCCATCGAGTCCGGAAAAATCGCGCCTCGTGACGATTTTAAAGCCCGAGCTCGTATCCTTGCCGACGAGTTCGGCTGGGACCTTACGGATGCTCGCAGGATCTGGTGCTTCGGACCTGATACTACTGGTCCCAACCTTTTGGTTGATATTACGAAAGGTGTGCAGTACCTCAACGAAATTAAGGATTCTTGTGTCGCTGCTTTCCAATGGGCAACAAAGGAAGGTGTCTGCGCAGAAGAGAAAATGCGTGGTGTTCGTTTCAACATCCTTGATGTGACAGTAAGTTGGCTCAATTGTCGTATCGGGATATGCACTCATCCAGTGACTCAGTTGCATGCTGATGCTATCCATCGTGGTGGCGGTCAGATCATCCCGGTCTGCCGTCGCGTGTGCTATGCTGCTTGTTTGCTTGCCACTCCAGGCATTCAGGAACCTATATATCTTGGTATGTCGCTGCACTTTTCTGTTTCCCTTTCATTAACTCTCTCGTAGTCGAAATTCAGTGTCCCGAAAATGCTATTGGTGGTATTTACGGTGTACTAAACAGAAGGCGTGGTCAGGTATTCTCTGAAGAGCAGCGTCCTGGAGTGAGTAGATTTCTCGATCATTCATTGTGACTCGTTATTGAATCACTCGCAGACACCGATGTTCACTGTTAAAGCTTACCTCCCTGTCATGGAATCATTCGGTTTTACAGAGGCTCTCCGAAGCGCCACACAAGGACAAGCCTTCCCGCAATCCGTCTTCGACCATTGGGATCTGATGAGCGGATGTGAGTTGCACAGCTCATCCTTTCTCTTTAGAATCCTCCTTACATCATCTCTCCGCCAGCCCCTCTTGATAAGGGCAGCAAGCTCGAAGAGCTGGTGACGAAGATTCGCACACGTAAAGGTCTCAAGCCCGAGATTCCAACTGTCGACACATATTACGATAAGTGAGCATAATTTTGCATCAGTCTCTAGCGAAGTTCACTAATTGAAACCTAAGATTGTAAGCGCTCGTTGTACAATCGACCCATCATGTATGAGAAGAATGTTGGCAAATTCATCCCAAACCTTACGTGTTGTGCATTTCTATGTTTCAACTGCCATTTGTGTATTTTCGCGCACGAATCAAATTCTTCTCTTCTCGAACCTACCCATTTCTTCTCTAGCAAAACTAGAAAAGCGCTCGTGCATGGTGCAAACATCTACGCAAAATTCCACATTTTATTCTTGGCTCCATGATTCAATAAACTGCGTATTAAAGTTTGTAATGTTACTCACCCAAATCTCTGCCAGTTTTTATGGTCTGATTTCCGCTGGAGAGGGTTGAAGTGGGAGAATCTAACCCTGTGCAGTGCATGAAGTCCAAACCGATATTCAAAATTGTCCCGAAATACAGTGCCTTCACCCAGTGACACGAAAAGATGGCTTCCTTGCACTTCAAGCTAGGATCATTCATGCATCTGTACCCAGTTGTCAAGTTGAAATGAGCCCACCAGTCACGTAGAATTTGCCTCCTTTCCCAAATTAAATTCATCCCGAAGCGACCAGGGCTTTGGCTCATTTTAGTAACTTCGAGCCGCAGGAATTATTTTCGGATTCGAGATCCCACATTTGACTGGCCCTAGCTCTGATCATTTCAACCTGTACTGAGAGTTGAGGCAGAAGTTTGGTGTGTTGTTTCATCAGGCTGCATTTATGTTGGAGTTAGTGCTTCGGGTGGCTTTCCAAACACTGGCCCAGATACAACGTAAGGACCACCTTGAATTTCCCTACCTCGGCGCGATAATATTCGCACATTTCAATTTTTTGAGTTTAGGGAATAATTCGGGCCCTCCTTCACTTCCAGCCATCTTTGGGCATGGCCCACACTATGAACCCGAATCTCATCGTTCGTTGAGAGCACCTCCCCACGCGATATTCTGTTGCACTTCCGACTCCAAGTGATGTTTCCTCCAGAATCCCTGTTGCTCGATCGTGGTTACTCATCACATACCCATAGACATTAATCGATGTATCAGGGGAATCCCCTCACCAACTTTTGCGGGATGCTTTGGTAGTCTCTGCAGGGAACTCATATGAGCCAATCATCGGCAAAACCAGGCCAATACTCGCTGCGGAGATGCAGTGTATGTGCTGCTCCTCGAGATGAATCTTGCTGGTCCCTTGAAATAATTAGGGGTGTATGACTTTTACACACAAGTCAAGATGCTAGGTACTTCGATCACCTGTGCGCGCTCTCTTCACACAGCTACAACTTTCACTCAAAGAATCATTCGGGACGACTCTACAAATGCTGGGCATTAACATCGTTCCTTTCCCATTATCTCCACGCGATCGCTTCGTCCTGAACAATGTCGGTGCTTCCAAAACGAAGGCTATCGTGCTTGTCACTCCGAATAATCTTGATGGATCTGTCTATCCACCTGGATTACTCGCCAGATTCGCAGATCTAGCCAAGACTCATGGTATCTGCCTGCTTCTGGACGAAACGTACCGGGACTCGTTGTTTCTACCGATTCTTCACCGGCACCCCACAATCTATTTTCTACCTAGGATATCGTGCATCTCTTCTTATTCTCGAAGAGTTATGCCATTCCTGGCCAACGACAGCGAGCATCGCAGCCCCCTTATACCTTTCAACGGCGTTGGACTCGATACAGGTGAGCGATCCCAGCTATTTATACAACTTGGACAACTGATGTTATCCGTCCGCCTCGAGCGACACAGATCGCACTATCAGAGTCCGATCTTCTAATAAAGCTAAGGCCGTGCAGATGCTGGCGCGGGGACATGGACTCCTATCATCAAAGCTGATGGGCGATCGTGGCTCCTTAGAACCTGAACGGCAAGTCGAACTGTTTGCGCCGGGCACACCGGGTAATTTGCGTTAGTTCATCGGGGCGAGTGGAGGGTATTTCGCGTTTGTCCGTCACCCATTCCGGGGAGTATCTGCACGAGAAGTATGTGAGATTCTAGCAGAAGAAATCGGGGTTGCAATGCTCCCTGCCACCTTCTTCTCGCCACCGCCCACGCCCTCCGGGAAATGAGGGCTACTCCTCTCTCAAGTCTGGACGTTGAGTTGCAGAACTGGGTTAGAATCTTTGTTGCAAACGTTTGTGAGAAAATCGTGGATGCCGACACGAGGCTGACGTGTTATTCTGGAAAGCTGTTGGTCCACTACAGGAGGGATGGGATGTATTGACATCGCTCTATGTATATGACGGTGAATAGATCAAGAGAGCCCGGAACTGTAACACTGGAGAGGCAAAGTCCGCGAAGTAGGTTGATGACGATGAGCTAGGGATCGTCATGCACAGTCCGTGAAGAAATGTCCATAAAACCAATGCAATCGCTAGATGTGATCATGTTTCGAAGGAATGCGGGAGTCACCCTGCATTAATCACCTGAACCAGTCAGCTCGGTGATGAGCTCGGAGGCACACTCGAAAAAAAGGAAAGGGTTCATAAACCCAGCAGAGGGGTTGCTATTGGGGCGTTCCGGTTCAAACCGTGAGGCAGCGTTGGGGTCTGCAGAAGCTTTGTACTGCCCTCGATAAACGAAGTCCACCTGACAGAAGAGAAGTCATGGATGATGTTTAGATGCTGACGCCCAAGAATGGCGACATACCAGATACAATTCTTCGGTGCTAGCTACTTTATATAGGCGTAAAGTTATGAGTGCCTGCAACAGAGATAAATTATGGGTTGCCGTTTCAAGTTAATAAGCTTACCACCATGGCTCTCTTTCTCCACCGTATGTCAATGGTGAAAATATCAAGGTCATCCCCGCGCGCCTGCTCAATCGGACCGAGCTCAAAATCGCGTTCGGGAGATGTGGCCCAGATACCTCGCTTCTCCCGCCATTCGATGCCAAGCCGTTGCATTGATTTGTACAGTTCATGAATAACTTCCATTGGTGGACTCGTGGAACGGATACCAAAATGCCAGTTCCTAGTTCGATTATTCCGTCGTGGAGGCGTCACCGATTCAGGTAAGGCAAACGGAGCCTCCAACAATGGGGACCCCAAAAGAGTTCGTTGTGATAGACGCGAATCATCCTGTCCACCAGAATGCATGACTTCGAATGTTGTATTGTCCAGTCGATCGAAGCTGGACCGTCTTTTCCGCGAAGATTTCCGTGAAGGGGGTGCAGACCCTTCGCTTGCGACGGTTTCAGCGGAGGCTTCGAGGGACGTGTTCATCATCAAACCATTAACTTGCTGCATCTGCGGTATACAATGAGCCGTCGCCCCGAGATCTTCGGGTTGTGCCAGTCAAAACTTACTGTGTCACTTTCCTCTATGTTAATAAGAAAGGGTCTGGATGATCGTTTCTTTGGTCTATCTAAGCATCATAGGCGTTAACTTGTGTTTGAGCTATGGCATGGCATAAGGGCTCACGATGCTGAGCTGATTGTCGACGGTCGGCGCAAAGGTCGTATGCAACCTTAACCGCATTCGGGCCGTCAACAAGCAACGTATTTCTAATATCCTCATGTGAGGCCGAGGTACAGCTAACCAGTTCGGAAATAATGGTCTCATCGAGATCAGGGTGCACCGAATACTCATGGAGGAGGTTGGACATAGATACAACAGGCCCGTGAATGTGTTCAGCGTGATTTTGATACGATCGCCGCAGGTATTTTGGGGCCATTTTTTCGGTCATCCATGGGTGATCCAGCACCTCGGAGACTGATAGGCGTTCGAGGGGGTTTACAGTCATCATTCCTCGTATGAGCGAGCAGATATTTTCGGAGAGGTAATCGGGGAGTTCATAGTTCTGTGTCAATCATTAACATCTAACCAATTAGATACTCGGAATGTATAGATAGACGTACGCCGTCGATAATTTGGCGGAATAACGCGCCTACGTCGTCGTTCTCGAATGGAAGTCTTCCGCACGTCATGACAAATAGGATGGCACCGGAAGACCAAACATCTATTTCAACCCCATAAGCCTCGCCTTTGATGATTTCTGGGGCGCAGTAGTTTGGCGTTCCACATCCTGTCATGAGGCATTCGGAATCATGCCATTCATTTGATAATCCAAAGTCAGCCAATTTTACATTGAGCTCGTCGTCAAGCAAGACATTTTCGGGCTTCAGATCACGATGCACGACATTCATGGAGTGAGAGTAAGCCAGTGCGTACCTTGGGGAAACCATCAGAAGATGCGAGTTGGAGGATTTATAGACACCCACATTATTTGCTGGAAATAGGTCCGCGCCTCCGACTCGGGTAATCGTCCATTCTTAGCGATCATGTAGAATAACTCGCCCTCAGCGTACTAATTCGAGATTGATTAAGCATATTTAAGTTAATAATGAACTCAATGCATTTACCTCCATCACCATTACAACGTGTTTTCGAGTATCAATGACTTCGTAGCTTTCAGGGTGTTTTAGCTCAGTTGGGAAGAAGAAAATGGGGGCTCACAGCTTGATGATATGCGGATGGCGAAAGTTTCTAAGGTATTGGATTTCGCGCTCTACTCTCGTTCGCATATCTAGCTCGTCGATGCTTGGAATAGGGATGCTAAATTAGCCAGCTCGCACCGGGGTACGCCGACGGGGAGGAGATTGCTCACAGCCTTTTACTCATAAACTTCAATGCAACCTTGACGTTGGTCAATGTGTGTACCCCCACTGTACATTTCAAGGAGGCGGCGCAATCAGGAAATGAAAGATGGAATTGGAAACTCGTCAGTTGACATACGCTTAACCGATGCATGAGCCCCATCAGCTATCTTCCTTACGATACGATACTCGCCCAGCCTACCCCTTGAGCTCAGCAGGGGTGGGTCCATGTCGGGGTTACTCGCGGTGCCGTTGCCTGAATGAAAGGGGGAAATTGGTCCCGTTCAGGGTGCATGCTTACGTAAGCAACACCAGATTCCAGCGTCTGATATGAGTTGACTCAGTTGTGGCAAGCCGCATGGACTCTCGATGAGCTTGCTGCACGTTTGATCTTCACTACAATGTCTGAACGATTATTTCCCCCTTCCCATCAGTCTCATGTCTCTCCTCTCTCAGCATCTCGAGGCCTCAGTGATGACAAGCTGCATGAGTGCGGGCAACTAGCAGTTCTCGCATTTCAGCCTTCTGACGTCTTCCTCCTGTGATGTTAGTTTGGAGGTGCTTGCTGAACGCGTGATCGCTCAAACGCCGAGCAGTGGCCAAGAGCTAGAGCAGCTGACAGTTAGTTCTTCGTCCTGACTCTCCTGCTATATTATGGACTCTCTGTGACAAAGGCGGAACTTCAAACGGGAATCGTTCGGTTCCGCGACTTAATGAAGCGCTTCCATGAAGCAAAAGCATCTACCGAGGCAAGCATCGCTCTGAATTCAACGATCATCAGGAGCCCATCGTTATCCTTTTCCAGCGGAACAGCCAAACCATTCAGAGGGCATCAGAAGTTTGGGTCCCTGACATACGGAAGGAAATTGAAGAAGCTAAAGTCTTGTCAGAACGTGTTCTGGATAAACTTGCCCCCATCGAGGAGCGTGCAACAAAACAGCTCAAAGTGTATGAGTACGAGCAGAGAAGGGTAGGTGCCCAATACGCCATGTCTTATTTGTTTTGATGCGATTATTTATTACTCGCCAGGCGTCTGCTGCTTCTGTCCAGCTTGAATGGCACGCAGCTTCTTGGATGGTCAAGTTGCGCAAGGTGTTTCTCGGAGAAGTTAAAGGGAAAAGAATGAAACTCCTGCGTATTGTCGCTCCTTTTGTTCTTGGGTTCGCTATTCTTCTTCTCGTAGGCTTCGCAGGACGGCTGCTCCTTAGATGGGGGTTGCTTGCGTATTACCGGAAGTTTTGATCTATTTGTATTTATATTTTCCGGGGACGTGATTTGAAACCCATTGACTGAACTCGCGTTTCTGGTGGTACTTTTTACGCTCAAGCGCCAACACCATGAGTGTCTATGACCAAGCCTCATCGAGCCCAGACCGATCACGAAATCACCCGACAACTCGTTCCAGTCTTTCCACATCCCACGTTGGAAGCTGGGGAACTGGTGAAACTTCAACGTCAGCGCCATTCGGCCAACAACCATATATACCGGGCTATCTCATGTCTAGCACGACGGTACGAGGAGATCCACAAACTGCAGACGCGCTTTAGAATTGACGAAGAGATGATAGTCTGTTGGAGGGCCATCATATCCCACACCGCCTTTAATACCTGAACCATTTGCAAGCAAACGCCCTGTCTCGTCTGCATCACAGTTTGGCGCAGATCCCTTCGTTTCAAGTCTTCGGTTTGTTGTCCCTACACTAAACCGAGAGCTACTATTTACCTCCCCGCCCAATTTCTAGGGCATCGAACAACACACGGCCCACAGCCCCAGATGTTGATGATGAGAATGCACCCCCCACGAATTCGCTTTTCGAAGGTATGGGGACGCCAGATCCCAAAAAATCGTACAGAGTATGTATATCATACTTCGTTTCCCATGATTTTGGGCTGACATAACTCCACTTGCTCAGTCTTCCATCATCGGAGGGTAAGCCTCATTCCAGCACGCACGAGAGAGTTGACTCGGCATCTGTATTAGGTTCCATCCCTCGACCCCATCATCACCATTGCCTCAGACGCTTACGCCTTCTACTCCTGCGACCTCGTCTTCGAGAGCTGCCACGACCGTCATCGTTTTCGGGTTTCCTCCTGAGTTAAAATCCGAAATTATACACTACTTCGCCTCCTTGGGTGACATAATATCTGTAGATCCTCCAAGGGATGCTCCTCAGCTGCAGAACTGGGTAACCATCTCCTACAGGAATAGTTTTGATGCAACACGAGCAGTGAGGAAAAGTGGGGAAGTGTTCAATGCTGCCGGCAATGGTTGGATGATTGGTGTGAAGTGGGCAGTATGTCGCTAAATTGGATGGCTGAAATCACTTCTACTCACTCCTGATCTGATAGGACTCGCCCACCTACACTGAAAGCGTTCCCTCGTCATCAGCCGAGATCCCTTCTCGTCCCTCGGTCAATGGCGTCAACTCAAATATTGGTACTCCTGTAGTTCTAGCACCTTCATCCTCGGCGTTCAGGAGCTTCCCGGTTGGTGCATCCACTTCCAGGGATTCAGGCTGGGACTTGGCGCTTAAAGAGGCAGGCAAGAAACAGGATCCAGCCAATGGTGGTAACGGCATTGTTTCAAAAATTTCAGAGCTTATATTCGGCTGGTAGCCTACCTACTACCCCTGACGTTCCTTCATCTCGATCCCCACCGTCATGTAAATCCACACTACTTAGTTTCGGGTATAGGAGTGACATTGCATGGACGTGACCGTGACTGCACGCGTCTTTCACAGGCACAGACTAGTGCCTCCTTGGCGCCGTTGGCTTCAAGTAATGGATCCTAACTGCGCGCGATTAAGGGTGGTACGTCTAGTGCTAAGGGTATTGGTTCATACATCGAGTTTTTGTTCAGATTGTCGCCCTTGCAATCTGCAAACCTCCAGATGAACCCGTGAACGACTACGTTTGTCGCCTTCGGAGGTTATTCCCTCTGGACTTTGTCGAGCCCACCCCTTCCCTGCCCCTTTCCAGCTCATCTGCAACTGTTGTGACTGGCTCGCAAACTCTTGAATCTCAGCAAAGTATCGATCTGAGAACCGAGTGCGATGGGTCCCAACCTCAAAAAAATTCCCCTGAGTCATTGCAGGAACGTCTCGAACAAGCAGAGGCGGAGGCGGAGGTGGCGAAAATTAAGCTTCGTTTCTATGCAACACGTTCTTTGTCTGAGGAGCCCAACCATTTGAGTGGATCGGATGGTCCTTCTAAGAAGAAGAGAAAAGCTGACGTTCGGACGGCCGGCAGCCTGAAGAATAAGAAGGGGAGGAGAGATAACCACGAGAAATCCCTTCCATCCAGTCAAGTTGATTTAGAGACAATAGTGGCCCATCTAGCATCGAGTAAGCATTCCTCAGTACCTGTTGCGCGGTTCGGAGGAATACATTGCTTTCTGTTCAAGCCCCCCAGACCCCACCAGTGTCCCATTCGATCCGAGTCCTGAGCGCCCTGGAGAAATATACTGTCGATCTTCATGGCTTGCTAGAGCTGTCAACACTTTCCAATGCGGACCAGCATCCCCCCCACTTGCATATCTCCCGAGTAATAGGGTCCATAGGGGACCTTGTGCGACATGCACTAGATATTCCGCCCTCATTCTGTCAGATAGATGAACTTACTGGTCCATCTGAGCCTTCAGCTCCTTTGAAAATATCAAGAACCACACTTCGCGCCGCTTCCCTGTTGTTCTCCCGTACAGCAGCTATAGAAGAAATCAGAGGATCTCATGCTGGCTGTTCGGGCCTGATAGGCCAAGTGGCACGGGAAATCGTCTATCCTCTTGTCCGGTCCATTCACCTTTCTTCTGCGCGACATATCAATCGGCTACTCTTCCCACAGTCGAGCGAGACCTCAGCTATATCTGGATCACGCACGGACATGCGTGCCGAAGCTGTCAGTGTGCTCAGTCAAATTGGCAGCTCCTGGAAGTGCTCTCCGCGTCGGCACAGTACCATTGGATCGCGATCTTCTTCGGACGGCATTACATCGTGTTTCTGTCCATCGGTTCTCGAAGTCATAATATTGACAGCATCGTTGGAAATGCTTCGCATTTACGCAATGCTCGATCCAAGGGCACCTCCGTCCTCAACGGAAGAATCGACCATCGTTACTCCATCTGCAACAACGTCGATCCATCTAACATCTAGTTCTCTCCAGAAAAACTCATCAGAAATCTCCCAAAACGCCACTTCAGACGAACGAATAGACATTCTTCGCCGTTCAATGGTTCGCGAGGAAACCATCTGGTTCCTGTGCTCGTCTATTCATTCATGCCTCAACTTGTTTCACCCCTCATCACCAAGTAGACATGGGACCAGAGCTAGTGATGAGATGGCTATGATAATCGAAGCCCGGAATGTACTTCTCAGTATCCTTCTTGTGGATAGAAAAGTAGACGGCCCACCACAGTCGCATAGTTCGGCGAACCGGTGCAGAACGAGTCGTCGCCTAACTGAAGAGGAAGCAGGTCTTATCTTTGCTGCCATTGAAGCTATAAATGATGTGTGCTCCTGCCCATGGGACCCTGACGATGTGGACATGGATATGTAAGACTCGGAGCCTGTAAACCGGAAAATATAGACATTACTTTCTCTTTTAATCTCCGTAGACACATGTTAGCTAATGTAAACCGTTGATCCAACAGATCGCTTGGCATTAGTGCTTGATGTTGGACGGGCACATCTAGTGTGCCTTTACCAAATTAATCCCCAAATACATTACTTGCTGTATATGGGCAGGATAGTATGTACCGTATCACTAAAGTGATATTGCAATGCCAACGTGGTGATTAGTCTTCATCCACCATACGGGTGCATGTGCGCGTGGAAAGAATGAAAAAATATTGGTAACAAATTATGTAAAGGAAACCAGACAGAACTCTCAGGGGTCCTCCTGGTGGCTTTCCTGATGCATACCAGGTCGAAGGTCGACCCGTTGCTGAAGGGAATGATGACGAAGTTATGGGTTCCTTACGCCTGTACCCCAACATGTTCAGCGGAGGCACCAGAAGGACGCCACGAAAATTTTAGTTGTCAAGTCGTTGTCACAGATCGAGGCTACCGACTATTTGTCCTCCCGGCGTTGAAGCCAATCCCTATAAAATTACATGGCTAAGTTCGGCACATCCCCTCTAATATACACGTTTACACTTAAGTCGTCCTGAAGAATCCGATATAGACCTGTCAAACCGTGGACTTTGGAGGCTCCTGAAAAACGCACCTCGCTCAATTGACCCTGCTTGCCCCATCCAAATCTTTATCACCACCCTCGTCACTTTCTACTTATCACCATCCCATTTCTCTATCACGAACCCATAATCATCATCACTATCGTCACAGAGCCACACCTGTTCGACTGGCTCGATTGGCAAGGGAATGGACGTCTTGGCCACTTTGCCTAAGACTTTACGCACTACACTCTCCCAGGGGTAATAAATCCTTTGGAAGTCCATTCCATGACACTCGCGAACAGTGATCTCGCTCAATGAAGGGAAGAGGAACTCCAGAAACTCGACACATAACAGGATGTTGTATATCGATGGGACGCCAATGTCCAGAATGCGCAGCTTTGAAGGTGTCAGTGTCGGTTGCTCGTCCGCAGCCGAGTCAGCTTGATACATGATGCGATCGTAAACATAGTGTGTAATGTTGCGATCCAATCCTATGTGAAGTTCTTCGAGATTAGGACAATATCGGGTGAAGGGAACAAGGCCCTCAAGAGTGACCTTCGTCTCTGGCGATATGCTAGGATCCAGGTACAGGTACCGGAGGTTTGGCCACGCGCGACACATAGCCTCCACGTCTAGGTTGTCGAGCTTTATCGTAGCACCCTTACTCGGGCGAACAACTTTCAAGTGTTCTAGGTCAGGATAAGAATTCCACGCAGAACGGAAGACGCTCCCGTCGTACAGCGGAATGTGTGTTTTCTCATCGTTGTTGGGTTGAATCGAAATGCGGGAAAGCTGGCTAAAAGGCTCTGAAGAGGCATAAAACATGACTCGTGCATCCTGTTCAACAAGAGTAATATGTTCGATGTTGGCAAACATTCCAAAGACGTTGATTTCCTCTTGAATCCGCCTGAGCGCCATAAGGTCCTTGCGGTCGTATGCATCGGAATACCGCAGATGTCTTAACCTACGGGCTCTGCGCGAAAAGTCTCTGAAGTCATCCGCTATAGGAGATCTGAGAGGCATCTGATGCCAAATCAACTTGTGGATGCTAGGATCCTTTCCAAGAACCCACCTCCTTCGGGAGGGCCCGCAGTTCTACGAGATCTTGTGGAAGAAGTTGCATAAATGGTTTTAACGGCAGCGGGCCCCCCCACTTCGCATCCATGCACAACGAGCATAAGGTGCGACAGGTGGAGCCTAAGCGAAGGGTGGAAAGACCATCAAGGTACGATGCAATTTCTTCGACGATATCCCAAATGCTCCATACGCAATGCATGAGGAGAATTGAGTTGTCGAAGAAGGGGAGCCAGTTGGGGTCATGAGAACACCTCTTATGATAAATATTTGTATCACCCCGTAACTGTTACCGTAAGCGGTAAGGTAGCGCGCGCCTCGCGGCCACTTGACCAGGTGGCCCTGTTTGATGATGAGTCATGATGCTGCGCGGCGCGCGGCACCTGTACGCTGTGCAACCGCACGGCGGTATTGCGATCGTGCCCGGCCACACTGCTCCGTCATCATATCCTCACCCTCTCACCCGCTATCAACGTACCACGGTAGACATGGCCTCAATCCATGTACTTACCGACTAATAATCGTTGTTCATTCGATCCTTTCAGTGTTCAAGTGCAGCCGCTGAGCGCTACATCCATATCGGGCTACACATAACAAACCCTATATAGAGGATCTCAGGTCACGCCAGAGGAAGATTACACTCCGACAGGGTTTGGGCTTCATTGATCGGACGAAGGAGGACGAGTGCAGCCGGATCGGACTTATTTTCTTATTTCTACTTTATTTGCGTGTATTTTTCTCGAGACCCCCGCCCTGCGAGCAGCCTGAAGTTTGCAGGCTAAATATTCAGAAATAAACAAACAATACATTCCAACAGAAAACGTCCAAGCAATCTCACGCATCGGCCGCACCGGCTTATTCGACCAAGGAAGGTGATTGGAGCATCCCAGTGTAGCTTGGATGCTGTGCTCTAGCCATCGGTCCCGTCTAGGAGACGTCTGGGAAAGAAATGGTCGGCGTGGCGGACCGGCTACCAGCGAGACTTGGCGCACAAAGGTTGAAGACAGTATCTGCAGGGGAATTCACCCCATGAGAGACGAGTCCCTGCTTCCACAAACGACCCCAGGACAGGGCTGTGATGTTGAAATCCCCATAAGGTGTCGCAGCGCAATACTGATGCAATTGCGGCCGCGCTTTTCCGCTTATATGTATATCACTGACCTATATTATGCAATTGTCCGACACTCGTGAGCAAGGGCGGGGGTTTACAATTACTCTTTCCCTCGGCTCCAATTTGTTGTGAGAGCAACACACGAGTCTTCAACAAACCAACCTACTCAGACCCGGTGTAGAGGACGGGTCTTTTTCTATCAAGCATGCGACACCCCAGGCCTGGTCAATGGCCGCAGCTGGGCGTTCGCTGCGTGTGTTGAGCCAGGAGAAGAGAAAAATTTCCCTGTGATTTACAGTGGTGGTGTCTTCGGTGTTGGTGGGGCGACACGGCTCGGTGGAGGAGAGTCGGACACTCTCTTCCTGGAGCTATTATTACCAGTCGGGTCCGACATGGCTAGTTCGGTTGGCGGTGGGCTTTATGATGTCGTTTCGCAGAGGTCCGTCAAGAGTGACATGTTCGACGCCGGAAAACCGCAAGGAGGTCGAAATCCGTCATATGCGATGCGTACCGGAGGCGAGTTGTCCTACGGACTCGGGGAACGAAGTAATCGAGGTCATTTATTACAGGAGATCCGAGAAGCATTGGGGTATTGGATGCTAACTTGTTCAGAGACCCACCTGTTCCTCAGGGAGGGCCCACCAGATATTATCACTCAGCCATCTGAACGTTGGAAGTTGGTGAGAAGCCCATAAACTGTTTGAACGAAGTAGAGCCGGCAATCGAGCTAGGATCCTCCGACGAATTTTCAAGAGGGCCCAAGCGCAATGCATGAGGAAAGCTGACCGCTGCCAAACAGCTTTTACCCAATTTTCAGCTGTGGAAAATAATATGTGCCAAGAGATTCTAAGTATCAAATTCCTTGAATAGCGTAAAACGCCGATCCTGCTAAAGACAGTGTTCCTAGTTCTTTTTATCTTGGTTTGCACTTGACCGACGTGGGGAGGGGCATTACAGATTCATACTCTTGGGTAACCCCTTAATGGTAGGCGTGGCGGTAAAAGAAGCAGCTGGAGAAGAGGTACACCTGAGGACCCTGAGGCGTCCAATCTTAGAACCCACCCGTATCGAGTCATCGAACCAGGTTGTGCTGTTTGAGGAGCCGCACCTAGCGGGACACCAGATTGAAGCTGACACCCATGACTAGATTATTATCGGAGGACAAAAACCAAGTGTCATTCGCAGAGCATCCGAGGAAAGCTTAACTCATTACACTCCAACAAACAGTGCCCACACACCCTTGGCATAAGAAACAACCTCATCCGCACCAAGTTTACTCTCGCCATATATTCGGTCAACAAAGGTAATAGGGATTTCTCCCACAGTATACCCTGAAGCCCGCGCTCTGACCATCATCTCCATCTGGAAAACGTAACCACGAGATTGGGTCTGAGTGATTATATGTTTGAGGACCTCCTTTCTGTAAAGCCTGTACCTCAGGTAAGGGTGGAAACATGATACTGCCATCCATATAATGAACCCACCTGAAGCTACCAGTAAGATCTGATACGCCAGGATTGAGGACAGTATCCGCAAGGAAGTTCGCTCCGCGAGAGACAAGCTTTCGCTTAAGGTCCCAGCCATAAACAGCTCCAGCAGTGGGCTGTGCAGATGAGGGGGTGGAAGGCAGGGATGGGGACGGTTTGGAGCGATACCTTGTGCCAGTCACGATGTCAAGATCATAGGCTTTCTGAAGCCTAATCATGGTTAGGACGTCAGCGTTTAAGGGCTGTTTGGCTCACCTGATGAACTGGGGTATGAATTTTGGCTGGAACAAACATCCAGGAAGACGTTAGGAATGTACGGAAAACATGAACCGCTTTGCGTACGTGGTGCGAGAAATCAGCATCCATGATAATGACAAAGTTCCCGGTGCAGAAATCAAGCCCATGTATGTATGCAGTTCTATGCGATGGTGGACAGAGTTTTAGCGTCAGAAAGCCTTGGAAAAAGGTATCAACCACCCTAAACCAAGTTTCCCAGAGCGAGGCTTCAAAACCTAGTGGATTATTGAGCTGCAATCAACGGATGATAAAGAGGTTGACCAATTAGGGCTCAACTCACTAATTTATCCTCCCCGTAAACTCTTTGCAGTTGAAGGGCAACCTCTTGCGTCCCATCGGGCGAGTTGTCGTCGACAATTATTATTTCCCAAGATAAAGAACTGCGTTTCACAACCCATTTCATGACAACCTTTAGTCATAGAAACCTTCACTGCCTACTGAGTTTCAAAGGTGCGAGCAAGAAGCCAGACAATGATCGGAAGGTTTTTGCGTTCGTTGAATGTTGGGAGGATAACAGAGTATGTGTTCGAAGATGATGAACCAGCCATATTTTCCACGTCTGCGGTCCTGTGCATCAGGGCCGATGAACGTGACGCGCACGTCGCGTTACATCAACAATTCACACCCGCAACCTTGAGCCAGAGACGGCCTTATACATATTTATGCCGCGGGCGAGTAAAAAGCGAGTACAAATGCTTGATGATTGTAGATACCTATGCAGCGTTAGCTACTTATATGATGATTAAGAATCGCTAGACCCTCAAAGCCTCCGCCACAGATCATCCACTCATTTACCGATATGAATGGAGTCGATATTCTAATATGTACCGCCAGTTTCACAGCAAATGGCGGGATTGGATGTAACAGGATGACATGATGAAAAGATTCAAATTCGGCTTTCACACTTAACAAGGGAGTACTCGAGCAAGTGGATGTGGTGCAGCATAGAACCAGAGGTTCATTGGATCATGATGTGCATATGTACACGCGTAGAGGAGTTGATAGAGTATGAAACCCGGGGTTGGGTGTGATAAATCGAGTTAACCCAAAAATGCATCATCGTTTGTTAATACTATGAGCAACAACTAGAATCAGCAAGTCATTCCATCTACAGTCAGGTGGTAGCATCTCGCACCTTGTGGAAACCGATAGCAGCTGCCTTCTCGCGGAAACATTGACGGCACATGTCGAGGCCGTATTTGCGGATAAGGCCACCCTGGTTAGCACAGACTCGGCTATAACATCAATATTCCAAAAACATTCATCAGCGACTCAGGATGTAGCCTTCCAAGGGGTAATGGTTAACTAACCACTGGCGCGAGCCCTTGCCGAATTTTTTTGGGTGAGAGAACCAAATAGAGTCGTGGGTCATTTTTCACGGAAAGACCTTGAGGAAAGCTCTATGAGAGATGGGGAATCATCCACAAGCGTCAGCAATGGATTGTGCCGTAAACGCGTGCTGCGTAATCTTGCCTTGAGACGAAGTAGGAGAGACTGTACAGTTTGAGCACGGCTGTTTGCGGACCATGTCACATGTCCATGACGTTCGATTTTTTTTTTTTTTTTTTTTTGGTGGAACCCCAGCAGCTTTCGCGATACATAGGCATGTATTTGTAGGGAGGCAGGGTCCCGTTGAGAGATTGGAGTGCCAGTTAGCCACCACGGGGAAATCCGTTACGCACTAGCCGGTTATCGGCATCGTGTGGGGCTCCCGGCCCCGGTCACGGGGGGTCCGGTATACCGGCTGTTAAGCCAGTTGTCTGGCAGTCTCTCTTCTTCGTGTAGGTTTCCGCTCCAGGTGAGCAAGACTAGTTTGGCCGGCAGGGCCTTACGCCCGTATTTCTTACGGTTGGTTAGGGCGATGTCCTGTTGGAGTTTGTCGTTGAGGGCGGCACGGATGGCATTTTTTATTTCTCTTAGTGTAGTTTGCGGGTGGTCAGGGTCGATGACTCTCCGGCATCTGGCCTTCCAGATTTGCCATGTGCATTCTAGCGTTACGATGACGTTCGATTTCGAGGAGTCTCTACGCCTTGTGTTTGTGTTGCCATCTGCGCAGCTCCTACTCAGCGGGGCCATCTCTTATGATCTCTCCTTCGTACAGTACTCAATTCCTCGTCATAGCTATTTTTTGGGAGCTTTGAGCCCCAAGACGTCGTTCCACCGTTGTACACATTCGTCGAATTTGCATGGTCAATGCACTTGACTTTGTCGGCGTTGTAAACATGATTCGATAGCTAACCTACCCTTGCATTTACCTGCCATTTTTGGGAAAGTTGGCCGCCGCCAACACACTTCTCTTGTGCCGTTCTGTCAGTGTTGACTTCTGCCATCACTTTCTATTGTAATATCCGCCTCAGCACTGGCCTTGAAACAATATCCTGGAACCAGCAGGCGACTTCACATTTGACTGTGACATTCAATCGTTAAGTTGTCGAGGTCGAATCGTATCACACCAACGGGTGTTTCGCAACACGTCTGGTGTCTTGGATCCCATCGCCCTCTGAGCTAGGTTTGTGGTGGCCGTAATGCTTAGACTGAAGTATGGCTACAATGAATCGGCATCTTCAGACCAAAATAGGGTTGCTGGATAAAGTTTCAGGATTGGTTCGAGCCTGATGTGTATCATATGGCATGTGTTGACCAGCATACATTGGTTACATAAAACAATCGTTGAGACAGGAATCGAGTGTGTACCTTCCTGGGTATATGATTTCTATTGCATAGGAGTGGGGGAGGGATGTGATTTCTTTGAGTTGGATGCTGCGCTTGCCCCTGCATAGCGTCGGAACGAAAAATACTATACAACATGCGAATACGATGGGCGAAATGCATCGGATGATAGATTGATGACTTTTAGATGAGCGACAGCATCGCGAGATGAGGCAAGAGACTGGTACAACCAGAAGGGCGCATAAGATGAAAGGATCCAGGATTTCACTTATGAACTCGGCCCGGCGGAGCCAGGAGTATCGGCCGTTGATGTACTGGTCGATGGGGCGGATGTGTGCGATTGCACGGCGGTAGGTTGGGGAATTGACTCGGTGCCAATGACATACCGTAGTATGTCGCTCAGTGTTATGATTCCAGCGAGTCGGCCTTTTCGCCCTTCTTCGCCCTCGATCACCACAAGCCGATGGACCCGTCGCAATCTTATGAGCTTTAGGAGAGAATACAAGGTGTCCTTCCCTGTGCAGGTGATGACACCGGGGAAATCCTGTGGCCGTCTTTCCAGGGCTTCTTCGATGGTGAGGTCAAGGTGTTGGTAGACACCTAACCGAACAAGTGTCTGAAGAGTGCGATTGGCCGCATCAGGAGCGCTCGAGTTGGGTGAAATTAAGCTGAACTCACAATCACGTCTACCGTCTCGTAAAGATTGACGACAATGCCTTCGTCGTCAACTATAGGAACAGCACTTATACCCAGGTTACTGAACATGTGAACGACGTCAAAAACGGTGGTCTTCATGGTGGCTGTAGCAATAGGGAAGTACGGATTTTCTGACGTGGGCTCCTTGCGGTACGTGCCAATACCCAGATTTTTGAGGGACATTTGGAGGTGTACAATTTCTTTGACCTGGCCGACCCCAGTGTCAGCTGCGAGATCAGAAGGTAATGTTGGCTTACGTTAGTAGCTATCGCCTTGAGCGCACGATATTGAGTTAAAACAGACAAGATAACTTCTTCACCAGTAGGTTGAATGTCCAGAAGAGGAAGTCGTCTCGCGTGCGTAGAGATGAGGAGCTGGCAGGCATCCCATAGAGGTTTCATTGGATGTATGGAGATTAGTGGAGGAGTGGGTACACCCAGATCTCTTTCAATTTCTTAGGGATCAATATCAGTGAGCGTCCCAAGGTATTGTGGCAAGACGTGCCGAACCTCGCAAGGATTCTAGCCGGAATTGTTCAACATCATGGCCAACGGTGTCATAAGAAAAATTTTGGTAATGAAGATAATAGTATTGGATAAGGTGTATGATGTCCTGGACCGTGAACATTCCAGCGAATCGAGCAGTATCGCCATTCCACAGGGGAGCTGATACAACAGCTGATGAGAGAAATCAGAGCACGGTTAACCGAGAGCTCGACGACAGCATACAGTTAGTAAGAAGGGCATTCAGAGCCTTTTTGATCTCTAGTTTGTTGTCTAGCACAATTGTCCTGAAGCTGACTGGAAAGACATCGTATGAGGTTCGACCCTTGAGGAACGCCCGAATAGCTTTAAGAGCGGCCTCGTGCGTTTCTAGGGACACCCGCGAATTCGCCCGCTGCCTTCCCCCTCCTCTACTCGAAAGTTTACGATTGATTCTGGTTTCCATTGTGATGAGACGAAGATCGTTCTTGGTTGACGAAGATGGTCCCTATTCTATGCTTGTTTGAATCCGGCGGCTGTTCACTTGCTTGACTTCGACATTTCTCAGCTTCTACGACCAATCTCTTCACTGAACAACCTCAGAACCGTTTATAACATTTCTTGGAACTGGTTTCCATCTGCACGGCTACCTCTGACGGTCCATATCTGACTCACAGCCTTCGTTGACGGCCCTCCATTCAGGTCGGAATTTGAATGATGTCCTTTCAGGACGACCCCCTCATGATACTTCTGCCTATCCTTATCGTTCTATCCTCGCTGTTATTTCTCCTGCTTCTATTTCTGGTCTGCGCAGTTGTGTTGCGTAAGCGGCGCGGTATCGCGCTCAGCGATTCCGACGGCCCTGTAGACTTGAGCCGTGATGAGTTTGCTGAGGGCGCTGGAGGCTTCACGGGCGTTGAGAGTCGCTGGCTAGAATCAATTGACGAGGGGTCCCGCAGACAGTATCAACGTGCTAAAGGTAACGCCCAAATCCTGCTTATCTCTGAGCGATTCTCGGTGAACCGTTCGATTGGTAGACTTTCAGTTGCAACATCCCCCGAATTCGTTGCCAACAGATATAACCCTCTCGCAATTCCTTACGATACAGGAGAAAGGGGTTTCGGCATGGTGTTTTGAACCAGATTATGAGACAATGCCATCCGTCCTCGTCCATGCTCGCACCGAGTTAACGTTTCTCCCGGATCCGCTCACTCCTACCACTGTGCAATCGAATCTTCCAATACCTAAATTGAATGAGGTTTACTACTGGGAAGTGAAGATGTTTGAACTTCCATCAACGACGAACATTTCCGTTGGACTTGCCACCAAACCATACCCTCTATTCCGAATGCCCGGTCATAGTCGGTTCTCGATAGCTTACCATTCGAGCGGCGATAAGTCTTATAATTACCCCTTTACGTCTACACCATTTGGCCCGTCTTTAAAGGAAGGTGACGTTCTTGGTGTTGGTTATCGACCACGGTCGGGCACGGTCTTCTTCACCCGCAATGGACGAAAGACGGAAGACGCATTTGTTGGCCTTGGAAAGTGGAATTTGTTCCCCTCGATTGGTGCGGACGGGCCTTGCAATCTTCACGTTAATTTGGGCCAGGCAGGATTTGTTCACATTGAAGCGCAGGTTAAGAAGTGGGGACTGGCACCTAGCGTTGGCACACTGGCACCCCCTCCTGCCTATGGCAGCGACTCTGGGAGCATTCTTCTAGCAACAGGGGGTTCAAACAATCCCGCTGGTGTGCCAGCACGGTCCAGATCACCGCCACCTCCTGTTGATGGGCCTGGTGTTGCATCTTCATCAAACTCAGCCTCATCGTCGCGACGGTCCGCTCGGAGGCCCCAATCAGCTTCTTCTGCCAAGTCACACCAGCCATCGTCGCTACGAGTGAGCACCCGTCGTCCGCGTCAGTCCCACCCAGACCCCATCTCAGAGGAAGATCTGAACGAAGCAGCCAGCGGTGTGAGGCCATCTGGTCGATACGTTTCCCCTACAGATGTAGAGTATCACAACCGGACCCGAAGACGGTTTGCGGAGGATGGCGCTGAGCTAGATGAAGACGAGGAAGAATGGGAGACAGATTCCGAAGAAATGCAGAGATCAGAAACGGCCGTGTTAATCGAACAAGGTCCTTCGTCGCATCGTGGTAATCAAAGCGCAACGCTTTCCTTTCGGGCAACTGTTCCACCTCAAAGTGCGCCACCTTCACCCGAACAGCCTGCAAACCCACCCACCCCCCATACGTCCGACATCCGGCTCCATGATCTTCATTCAGATGTTCCCACTTCTTCTCCCGCACTCAGCCCACTGCCAACCGGTATTCCACCCCCAGAGTATACCATTGTGGATCCTGCTCGGTACCCGGATGGTGTCACTGTGGACATTCCTCCAGACATGCTCATGGCTGCTTTGGACGACACCCGATCAACCCCTTCATCACCCGCAGGAAGATAACATGTGCACCGAAGTAATCATATTGTAACCTCTTTGTTCTTTTCGTGTCGATCTGTGAATTTGTAGTGCATATACTGTTTTTGTCGGTAGTTGCGACTTAATCAAATGACTCTTCTTGCTACATAAACCAAGAAATTTCCGCTGTAGAAATGGCGGGGGATGACCGGATTTCTGCGCAATTTCCCACAGCGGATATTGGTTCTGTCCGCTGACGGATTGAGCGTCACTTTACCATGCAGTTGGGGCCAAGAAATAATGGGGATAATCTATCATATTGATTTCTCGTCCAATCCACGTCTGGAAAGCACAGTTTCTGACCAGAGTATATATATTTCTCGACGTACATACAAGAAAATAAACTATAAAACCTTCCGACCCTCATACCTTCCACCACTTTACACACAACTGTAGCGTTATCTAGCACCAGTTTGTGGCAGGCAATAAGTACAATACACGGGGAGTTGGGAAGTGAAAATACATCATATCATCGCCAGAAGCAAGGGATGGGGAGAGGGGCAAAGAACACTGGATAAGGTGACACTTGTCAGTGGAAGTCCTATATACCCGATGATTGGGGAACAGATGGACATCAAATTGATGCTGTCTTGCTACAGATGGCAACACATAACTTATTGATGAACCATAGAGCAAAAACCCACATAGCAAGCGGGAGCTGAAGAGTCCACAGGACAAACCACCAAGGATTAGCTCACTACCAAGATAGCCCTGGATGTTGAACATAACGTGTCCAACCCCGTACATCTAGAATAATGACACAGACAGCCACGAAAGATATTCTAGTAAGACAACTTGAGTAGAGTAGAAGTCTAGCCAGAGTCCGCTGAGTCCGCAGCGAAAGAGTAAGTGTGCCATGCCCCCCTTTGGATGTTCCAGCTAAGTTGAACATCGAAAGGGAACAACAACATTTAACACAGACGCATTAGTCTGGGACTCATCAGTGCGGTTCTGAATGCGGATTTTTTTTAAATTGTTGCTAAGGTCTCATAAAGGGTCCTTGTATCTATGTCCCAATTTGTTAATCAATACAATGAATCACGTGCCGGGAAATCTCGGGTTCTCATCTAGTCATGCCTTAGCAGCGTGATGGCGGGGGTGGCCAAATATATTGTATCTATCCTAAAAAACTTGCCATATGAGTGCACTTATCGAGGGCGCATCATCCCTCAAGCGGAATGAATACGACAACAAGCTCGATCAATTTCGTAGGAGTTTGGCACATTTCGAGACTCGATCCGAAGAATGGATGTGTACAATATTTAAGGAATGGCTGACAATTGCAGCACCCCGACCATGGCAGATTTCACACTCACTCGACCTGTTCAAAGGACAGGAAGTATTTCTAACAGCCAAGACGGGAAGCGGGAAGTCCGTCCTCACCTTAGCGCCGGTGATTGCTCGAAAGATTGCTCAAAAAGATTACATTGCGGTGGTTATCTACCCAACAGAATCACTAATAATTGACCAAGTCAGTACCTGCTTTCAACAATGCTATACACTTACAAACCAAATTGGCATCCAGGAAGCCAAGGCACGTCAGAAAGGCGTCCGGTTTATCGGAGTGAGCGCCAACATCCTTGCCTCCATGGCAGCCAAGGAAGGTCGCGATCTGTGGAAAGAAATTAGTGACGGTATATGGGATGTGATTGGAATGGGCCCGGAGATGCTGCAAAGCCCACCAGTGGCTCGGCTATTCCGGAATGAGAATTTTATGCGGAAGCTTGGGTTCATCTTCATAGATGAAGTCCACCTAGTACTTCAATGGGGATTAACATTCCGGAAAGATTACCTGAAATTATGTGAACTGCGCGCGCGTTTACCAACACGGATCACCTTCCTTGCAATGTCCGCCTCCCTTCATGATGATGCCCGTACCAAAGTCCAGGGAATCCTGGGATTCAAGAAGAATCAGTTCCATGATATCAAACTACCCATTGACCGCCCTGACCTGAAATATTGTCCACGCTTCCTTCTCAATTCCACCGAAGGGACGACATTCCCCGACCTCGCCTGGGTCATTCCCCCAATCATCAATTCATCGCTTGATCTTACCCCGACCCTCTTTGCATGCCGTACTATTAACAAAGTAATGGTGCTTTGTCAGTGGCTTGTGATGGAACTAGCAGAAGGGTTGCCTTGGACGGATGTGATCAAGTGCCGTGGAGTGGCATCAAAGATGGTATCGCCCTTTCACGCGGAAATGGATGACAGCGACCGTCGAGAAGTGCTTGCCGGCCTTTGCGCAGGTTCCATCCGGTACATTGTCGCTACCGTTAGTGCTAATGTCGGAATTGACATGAGTGTTACCAATGTCATCTGTATCGATCTTCCCAACTCGGTCGAAGAGTTGACACAGTGGGCAGGACGAGCAAGTCGGGATGGCAGTGGTGGGATGTTAGTTGTGTACGCAAACGAAGATCTCCAGGTCGTACCTGCTGAGCATCGAGATTTGAAGACATATGTGCCATCGAATGCTAAGGGCCTCACAGCGGCGAAGATCGAGCGTCGTGATAAAGTACAAGCGATGGTACAGCCTGCGCTGGTCGAGTTCTTCAATCCTCACCCCAGTGACTGCCCCCGCATGGTACTATGCCGATACTTTGGTGACGAGTTCAAGGAAGTGGCAAACTGCTGTGAACGGTGTGAACCTGGACCAATGGAATCCCACCTCGCCATGGTAAAAGACTACATGGCCGTTCTTTCTGGGAAAAAGCCGAAAAAGAGCAAGCAGGTTAGCCGCTTGCCTGGGGAGAACTTTCGTAAGCCATCAAAAGACCTTCGCGAGCATGCAATAAATGATCTGCTGAGTTGGAGGCACAGCGTCTGGAGAAAGCGACCATTCAGCTTTGATTCTCCTGATGATATCTCACCTGAAGTTATCGTCGGTGATGGTGATATTCGTGGCCTTGCAGAGCAGCTATACACGATCTCCACGCGCGAGCGTTTAGACTTTGTGGTCAGAACCTGGTTATCAGTCAGGCCTCTGTCGGAAGCCGAGATAGATGGACTGTGGGAGAAAGTTCAAGCACTTAACGCGGAATTGCAAGAGATTATCATTAAACGTGTCAAGGCAACGGAGGCACAGAAAAAGAGGTTGACAAGAAAGAAGGCTACACGCGAGAAGCCCTCAACATCGCATGCAAGTGATGGTGCTGAAGCGATAGATGGTGACGGAGGGGCAGGGCGTGCCACAGGGTCCAAGGAGCCAACAGGGGATAATGGTGAGATGGAAGATGGGGGGAAGTCAAAGCGAAAGAGAGTGCGATCGGCACGTGGCCTGTTAATGGACGAAACCCTGCAATTAGAAAAGCAGGCATAGACAGCTGGGCGCTGATTCATAAATAGAATACTCACCTATCAAGTCATGTACTTGTCCAAGAAGTTGCTCAATGCCCCATTGCGAAGTTTTGCATAACCATGCGAGAGTGCATCAATTGCCAAGTAGGATTGTGATCGGTTTGGATGATAGAGATGATGTCGCTGAACTAAGTACGAGTGACCCAGTAAGTTGATGTCCGCTGTCAATTTGGCATCGGTTCGGTTCGATACGGTTTTGTGAAGACCAAGCCGATCCTTGATCGTGTTTGCAAGTTGACCCAGTGGCACGACATTCAAGGAGACGGCCTCCCGAATGAACCTCGAATCAAACCTTGCCAAGCGTCCATTATGCACCTGCTTGATTGCAAGGTTGTGGTGCTCCTGAAGGAGATCTCTCTCCTTTCGCCCCCCAACTAACCCTGATACATTCAAAATGTACCAGTCAAAGACTGCCTTCTTCGTCGCTGCCATGAAATTGAACCATAAATCAATCGCTTGATGTAAAAGTTCGTGGCCATAATTGCTCGCCCCAACGCCGAAGAACCACATGCGTAGCCACTGTTGCTTGGTTAGTTGGCACTGTTTAATCCCAAATTCCAACTATTCTCACCTTAATCACTTCAAACGTCCGTCCTACATCTCCTTCCTTCACGCTACTCTTGAGCTCCCAGTAATGAAGCAAATCTCGCCAAAGAAATGCATTGTTGTGCATTAAGATGTCGCCATGAGTGTTGTTTGGCATCTCGAAGGTGAGAGATTCATTATCGAAAGTCAAATCAATATTCATTGATGCTCCGATGCAGTCATTGTGTAAGGGATGGACAGGGATGGGATGATGCGCGCAAAGCGCGCATCTCAGTTATTCTTTTATTCTTTAATACTCTTCGTAATAAATAATGTAAAACAACTGTATATATATATAGTGTCCGGGGTCGGGGAAAGGGGCTTTGCTCTTCTCCTCCCCCCCTGTCGAATACTAGCTCCATACAGTCTATGTTCTCGACAGCCTGAGGATTGAGGAGTCACCAAGGCCGGCACCCCAACCGGCCTTACACTTTTTTAGACTCATTGGGCTAGTTTCACACGCCCAACCGACGCGCGCGTGCGCCCGACGTGCACTGCCGCGCTCCCGACTCGCTTCTCTCTCACGATTCGCGCTCTCAAGGCACCTCTGGCTTACAACCAAGTTCTCTAGGTCGACCTCGCATGCTTAACGCGCCTACACGTGTTCTTAACGCCAATCCACGCGCTTTTTCTGGGGGACATACACGAAATTCGCGCGCGCGCTTAGATATTCGCGCACACGCACTCTCTGACCATTCCTCAACGTGAAACTCACGCGTTGACGACATTCCAGACGCGTGTTTTCGTCGTCTAGGCCGTACCAACTACACGTAACGCGACTCAGACGAACACGACTCAAAAAAACCAACGTTGTATCAGCTCGACGGTCGCGATCTCCCTCGGGACGATCCTCTCTCTAGTCCTCGCGGACTACTGGGACTTGCCTGGACGCGCTTGAATTGAAGAAGCGATGTATATACACGCGATGGATACGATTATTCGCGGTCTCAACCTGCGACTGTCGCAGATGATCACCCTCGCGGGTAGATCTCTGCTGACAAACTCGTCAATCTGTATCTCGCGTCCTGGAGACGCCCTTGCCACATCGACACATTGTCGATTGTGCGGCCTCCACCATCCATCCTCCACCTGAACCAACGCTGAGTGCTGATGCCAACGCATCGCCGGCTACGGTTCACACTTCATATTTCCTATTTCCTGCCGGCCACGTCGACTCATTCCCCGCCCCAGCCACACGATTCTGCGACTATGGCGACCCCTTTTGACTTCGGCCTTCCACTGCCTTCGATACTGAGTTCAACGACCCCGATTCGTCATTGTCGTTGTCGAGGCCAGAATAAGCGCCGTCCGACTCTACGTCGTCCAATATCGACGCGCTTGCTGCCAACCGCGTCGAATTTCTGCTGTGCTGTCGCCTAGAATGTCGATGTTACTCTACCCCGGCTCCAACGCGTCTGCTCCATAACGCGTTGTCATCTTCGCTGTCGACGCGCCTGTCGACATTAATTTACCATTGGCTGCATCGTGTCCGGCTACACGCTGCGTATCGCAGGTCTGCCACCTGCTGCCGTGGTTCTGCGCGCTCTGGGCGCCTAACCCATCGTCTTCCCGCATCCGTCTGAGGCGATCATTCCTTGTGCCGGCACACCACGCTCCTGTTGCCACCTCGAAGATCGATGGGCTGCTCCTTTCCTCCAATGCATGCTGTGCGCTGCATTGGCTCCAACATTGATGTGCCCCGCGACACTTCCCTCCAATCCGATTGCATTTCCGCTTTCGGTGTCGATACACTCATCAATTCCTCACCTCCGCTTCTGCCTTCACTGGCCCCCCCATTTCTACATCCTGCCTGCCCACAAACTCCCATGGATTCTGCGCGTCACCGAGTCTGTGCGCGCCCTCGGTCTCCAAGCACCTGTGTTGATCTTGGTCCATTCCCTCCGGAGTCATTTGAGAAAACCTATTGGTTGCTCTAAGGGGAGAACCTATAGGTTGTTCTAAGGGGAGAGTGTAAGGGATGGACAGGGATGGGATGATGCGCGCAAAGCGCGCATCTCAGTTATTCTTTTATTCTTTAATACTCTTCGTAATAAATAATGTAAAACAACTGTATATATATATAGTGTCCGGGGTCGGGGAAAGGGGCTTTGCTCTTCTCCTCCCCCCCTGTCGAATACTAGCTCCATACAGTCTATGTTCTCGACAGCCTGAGGATTGAGGAGTCACCAAGGCCGGCACCCCAACCGGCCTTACACATTGGCATTACCAGCCTCGTCATCACTTTCGTCCACATCGTCTTCATCGCTTTCACCCTGCTCACAGCTTCGTCAGGCCATATTGGATACAATCGAGGGCTCTTCTGGCATTGGGAAGAGAGAGTCCAGTTGAGGATCGATGAAGCGGGCGAAGTATGACTGGCCATCGCTTACATCGGGTGACAAGGCCATGTAACCGGAACGTGTCGAGCCAAATGCATGGTATGCATCGCAAGCAAGGCGGTAGAGATCGTTGAAACTACATGAATGGAGAAAGTTTCCTTCCTTTGTGTATGCCTCGAGTTCTTCGGTAAGGTGCATCGGCTTCCTGTCCTCCCGGACAGGGCATTTCAAAGATTTCTGGCGAAGTATATGTCTAAGAAAACTTACGAGTGAGCTGTGAAGGAGGAAGTGGGAAGTAAAAAATACCTGATGTAATTTAGCGTCATCGCTGTGAGTACAACTTCAATGAGTCTCTCAGCGGGATAGAAATCCACTTTGTTGGGGTTTAAATTCCGACGAAGTTTATCGGCAGCGAAGCGAAGACCAACGTCGCCCTTTTCGGTCTGCTCTGGCCAGTGAGCTTTAATTATCCCTTTGAGCATTGCGAACTTCATGTGCCAAAGCTCGATAAGCGGTAGGACATAACGGTTTGAAGAGAACCAAGAAGACCCTGAAGCTGTGTGGCGCTTCAGGGTTCGGATGCGTGATATTGTGGCCTGATCACCGGAGAATGGTATGAGTCGTCCTTTGACAGCATGTGGAGGGATCCCAAGTTGGCGTTCGATGATGTCGCGGATTGTCTGACGGTTTCCCATAGTAGTTGCCTCATCAAAGCCCGACATCTCAAGGGGGATAACTTCGGTGATTTGGAGTGGCGTTGGGTGAATCGCAGCAGTTTGCCTGAAATTGTCGAAGTCGTTCTTGTGTCGCTTCAGGCCAGGTATGTGATCGAGTAACAGACGCAATATGTTGATGACACAGACGTTTTCCAGGTGCTTGCGGTCAACGTCATCCCAAATCCTCGTTAACGTGATGTCATCACGTTTGACGTGCCGCCGGCGTTCCTCATATTCAAAACCATCGAAAGCATCTGCAGCCACGCCAGGCTGCATGATCAAGGTGGCAGCAGTCCCACTTTCCATACATGTTTGTGAAGAGAGGGATGGCCGCCAGTCTTTATGGTACTGATTGATGTTATCATAAACGACATGGAATGAAGCCAGCTTGTTGACCCAGTTAGCCCCTATGTTGCGAATTTTCTCGGATGCAACCGCGCTCATTGAGTATAAGCGCTGAAGAGTTGAGCTATTTGCGACTGCAAGTCCGATGCAGCCAGTGATGGATTGTAATGACTTTGAAGAATTCTCAGAGAACATGAGTAATCCCATGATGCTCTGGAATTTGTTTAACCCTTTATTACGAAAGTACAACAGCACCATCAGCACAACGGTGCATCCCTCACACGATCATCAGTTAATTCGCTAGCAAGTACTGAATCGTTCACTCACTAAATAGGGATCTCGTACATGATTCGACCCACGTCCCTTCCCAGAGTCCCTTAATTTCGCTTCTTTCAGCTGCTCCGCCCTCTCCCCACCAACTGCAATCCATGTTAACAACATCCAGGTCACAGGTGCGACGCTGAGGGCCATCTTCTGGACTGTGTTAACAGAGAAGTCTAGGACCGTATCCCAGCTAAATTGGCTTGTCGCGGTGTCTCTTGCACGCAAGTAAGGGCTTTTGAGAAGAGCCCTGACTTCTGTCTCCAGCCGGTCAACAACGCGTGCAATAAAGTACTCCTGTAGCTTGCTGTACGTGTTCTTGATGTCTGAATGAGTTCCTGGCTGAGAACTCATCATTGGAATAGCGTATTCTGGCAGTGTGTCATAGGTGGGTTCATACGATTGCTGGGGCCGGGCCCATGGATGACTGTATAATGCATGGACGATGTCAACAGGGTGGTTCTTCACGGTACGTCCCCCTATGAACCACTTGAGCATCTCCTTTGCTGATGTACTTAAGTGCGTGGTATCCCCAAAAAGCGTAATGAGAAACTCGCCGAGTGTGATATCCCGCGATCTCAGTATCGACAGTATCAGTTCTACTGTTGCCAGAGGCTTGGGCCTGGGCTGGCTGCCCAGCAGGTATAATTGCTCGGGGGCAGAGCTATAACATGAAGGGCACCTCGAGGTACTTTGCCATTTATCACACTCCGTCGGTGTCTGGGAAGAACTGGATGCCATCCATTCCGACTCGATGGTATTGAATGCGTTGCAGCTCCTGGCTTGGTCTTCTCTGTTAAGCCGCTTTGATGGTGAGAGTGGTTCTGGTGGGCTTCCAATGAACTCTGCCCGTTGGTTGGCGATAACAGCAGTTCTTCCTGAATTCTCGCAGATTTTTTTCACTGGAGAATCCTGGTCCTCTGCAGCTTTGCGCTTGGGACGGCCCCGTGATGGAATTGAGGTAGCAGGGCTGTAAGTTTCATTGGGGTGAGGTCTAGAAAATATTTTTTGTTGTCTATAGCCTGCAAGATTCCCAGTCTGACCAGGCGTGTAGAATATCGGTAGAGAAGGGATCTTGACTTGGAATGCATCCATTGTGGGATCGAGAAAAGAATTTGCACTTGTTTGTACTGTAAATATAAACAAATATCTTTCATCCCGAAGTTCTCCTTCCATTCACTTAAACTGTATTGCTTAAGTAACCCATGGCAACTGTGAGGACCCTTTCTCGACTGTGACAACCATTCAGTAAAAATCCGCATTCATCAACTGGGGTTTGGTTCCAGCCTCTCTTTATTGTTACGAAGTCAGAGAGGCTGGAGTCCTGCCTAAGACGCATTGCCCAGGTGATTTATTGGTCAGTTTAATTATGTTATATGTAACAGAAAGTGAGAGGATGGCACGATTTGATGCAAAGTCTTGAGGGAAAGCGGGCGGATTGTATGTATGGGACACGTGGTTTCCCCGCCATTTCCACCACGCATCAATTTTTCCATCGCTGTCGGGTACACAAGCTTCGATTTTCCATCGCGGCAAGGGCTGGGATTGCATGGCATTTACGATTCTGACGGCGGAAAGGGAGTACTGTGGAAAATTTTGGCTTACTTACTTAAACGCAGTGAAGTAATAAACCTCAGTTCACTGGTATCTTGGTGAAGCATGTGCTACTGTATCTAACTAAGATCTAATTGATAAATAATCGCCGACGGGCTTCTACGACATCTGATTGGCTCGGTTCGCCCGGACTCATTGGCTGCTCCATCTTAGCCATACCACGTGGATAGTGGTTACATGTGGCGAGTCGAACCAGTTTATATATCCAACGTTCACCATCGGTGCCGTCGTTTCCGTCCACACCTACCTTTCCTTTTCGACGAACATAACGCCCGAATGATGGTCGCACCTCCGATTTCTAGATGCACGCACAACGTGCTGCAATTCTGTGCGCTTGTACAACTATTCTAGTACTGATAATGTCGATACGTGCTCACTGGGACAGATACGGAGGACTAGGCGAGATCAATATTCAATATTTCGCCATCAGGATTTTTCCATTCCTTCCACCCTAGATTACCTACTGGGACACGACTCGCAACCAGTGGAACTCCCTCATTCTGCTCCCAAGCTACGGCGGCTTTTTTCCCAGCATGTTCAGGCGCGCTGCTGTTTCCTTGTTTCTCCTCTTCACTGCTTCCGTCTTCGCCATCCCTTTCCCCCAACGGCAGGTGTTACGCCGCCTCGCACCTCAGCTTCGGGACCCTGTGCATGGGGAAACGAACGCGAAGCGATTCGCGAAGGGCTTGCCCCCTTTGCCACCAGCTCGGAGGTGGAATATTGAAGCTTCAGGAACTGAGAGTAAGTCTGCAGCCACCTTCATTCACGCACGTAGCACGAAGATGTATGGGGTGACTATAATGCGGTTTGATCTCCAGCTGCCAAAAGGGCACAAGGCAGCGACACAATTCTCTGGAACGGTGTTAAAATTCAAGGACTACGCGTGTTTAATGGAAAATCCAACGCCATGGGATACATCCAGCTGAAAAACAATAAGTGGGTGTTTTGTCCGCTTTCTTCAGTTATGTCGTATCTGAGTTGACACCCGCCTGTCTCTTGATTGATAGGTACGTACTAGCTACCAAGAACGACGCCGATGGTTTCACAGCCACAGTTCAGAACAATGGTATCACTCATGGGATGAACATCAAAGCTGATGTGCGTTTACCTTTTCTTCCTTCTGTTTACCATTGAGTTTGTTTTTCCAAATGCAATTTCTCCAGAAAGCTCCGTTTACCCGTCCCTATTTGGCGGTTCTCGTCGATCCGAAATATAATGATCTTGGTGCGAAGGGGAGCCGTGGTTATTTTGGAACTTCAGAGTCAAGTACGTCGGTCCGGGAGAACCCACCACCTATTTAAACCCGATTCCAATTTCCCTTCGCAGCTCAACTCAATGCCACCCCTCAATCTGGTGGCGCAGTTTCCGTTACTGGAGCGAAGTACGAGTCAGTGGTTTGGGACTACGATATTGATACTACTCTTCTCACACCCAAGTGGGTGGATAGTAATAACAGTGAGTGTTTCCTTTATTCCATTCGGGGTTCCATGCCCCCTTCTATCCACATTGCAGGGTGACACCTACTTCCACACAGACACCCTAACGCTATCGATCGTGTGGGGGTCACATGACGAGTCATTGTATGTCACGACAGATCCGTTCGGCCTCACATCCACTATCTCTGATTCAAGAAATATGGTGCGTGAACCATCAAAATTGGTGTCTCAGGTTGGGTACGAGCCTTGGTTGCTGATTTTACGCGTCTCTTGCAGACTTTCTCTGTATATACCTCTCCAGGCTCTTCTTAGTTATGGATGACTTTGCTCCAGATTTGTACCATTCCCATTACTTAAGACTGGAATAAGTTGGTCGATTTCCCATTCTTATATATTGGTACATAGTACATGCGTTCGAAAAGCACGGGAAACGAGTGCGACCGCTGCATACCCGCTACTCCGTTGAAAAATTTTTCTTCCTCGATTGAATACACGCAATACAGAGCCCCTTTCAAAATACGCCCATCTTACTGTACTAACAACCTCTTCCCACGGCCTCTGGGAGTTGCCGGAGCCATAAATCAATTCAATTTTGTTGATTTTTAATTCAATCCAAGAGTTTTCATTGGCTGCTATACCACGTGGATAGTGGTTACATGTGGCGAGTCGAACCAGTTCATATATCCAACGTTCACCATTGGTACCGTCGTTTTCGTCCACGCCTACCTTTTCTTTTCGATGAACATAACGCCCGAATGATGGCCGCACCTCCGATTTCTAGACGCACAACGTGCTGCAATTCTGTGCGCTTGTACAACTATTCTAGTACTGATAATGTCGATACGTGCCCACTGGCACAGATATGGAGGACTAGGCGAGATCAATATTCAATATTTCGCCATCAGGATTTTTCCATTCCTTCCACCCTAAATTACCTGGGATCCTTCATTTAAGGGCTTGGCTTGTCCGGGACAACCAGCGGAACTCCCTCACTCTGCTCCCAAGCTACAGCGGGGTTTTTCCAACATGTTCAGGCGCGCTGCTCTTTTCTTGCTTCTCCTCTTCACTGCTTCCGTCTTCCCTTTCCCCCAACGGCAGGTGTTACGTCGCCTCGCACCTCAGCTTCGGGACCCTGTGCACGGGGAAACGAACGCGAAGCGATTCGCGAAAGGCTTGCCCCCTTTGCCACCAGCTCGGAGGTGGAATATTGAAGCTTCAGGAACTGAGAGTAAGTCTGCAGCCACCTTCACTCACGCACGTAGCACGAAGATGTATGGAGTGACTATAATGCTGTTTGGTCTCCAGCTGCTAAAAGGGCACAGGGCAGCGACACAAGCCTCTGGAACGATGTTAAAATTCAAGTAAGACGCGTGGATGGCGGAAAAGCCATGAAATACCTCGAGCTGAATGGCGCTAAGTGGGTGTTTCGTCCGCTTTCTTCAGTTATGTCGCATCTGAGTTGACACTTGCCTGTCTCTTGATTGATAGGTACGGACAAGGCAGCGGCGATGGTTTCTCAGCCACAGTCCAGAACAATGGTATCACTCATAGCATGAACATCAAGGATAATGTGCGTTTACCTTTTCCTCCTCTGTTTACCATTGAGTTTGTTTTCCAAATGCAATTCTCCAGAAAGCTCCGACTACCCGTCCCTATTTGGCACCTCTCCTCGATTTGAAATCTAGTACTCTCTATGCAAAGTGGAGCTATGCTTATCTGGGAACTTCAGAGTCAAGTACGTCGGTCCGGAAGCACCCACCACCTAAACCCGATCCAATTCCATTAATTTCCTCTTAAACGTCAAGCACAGCTCAACTCAATGCCACCCCTCAATCTGGTGGCGCAGTTTCCGTTACTGGAACGACATACGAGTCAGCGGTTTGGGAGTACAATCCTGACACTTATACTATCACACCCACGTGGGTGGATAGTGATCACAGTGAGTTTCTCCTTGATTCCATTCGGGGATCCATGGCCCCCCTCTATCCACATTGCAGGGTGACACCCACTTGGGACACTTCCACACAGACATCCTAACGCTATCAATCGTGTGGGGGGAAAAGGAACAGAAATTTTATCTCACGACAGATCCATCGGGTGTCACGTCTGCTGATCAACACTCAGTAAATGTGGTGCGTGTGAACCATCAAAATTGGTCTCAGGTTGTGTATGAGCCTGGGTTGCTGATTTTATGTGTCTCTTGCAGACTTTCTTTGTATGTATAGTCCCGGTACTCTGTAGCGGGTCTTGAAAGCATGAACTGAATGCCCATGCAAGAGGTCCTCTATTATTGCAAATTCCGGCATAAACACAGGGTCCATCTCTTGTCTAAGTTGCACAACCTGATTGTTCAGAGACCCCCTTCCGATTCACTCGCCCTTGGTCCATCACTTCTTCAATGGCATCTCCTCCCCTTTACACTGTGGCCTCTGCATTGCCTATTTGATGTTTGTCCGCTTTAATTAACATGTCTCTAATTTCCATTGCCAATGAAGCCTTCATGCATGGAATTTTTCTTCCTCTGCTGCCTGCACTGCAACAACCGTGGTGTTCAGTTGTATTGAAGATTGCAGTTCATTTATAATTTCCTCATTTCTTCATTGGCCTCCATCAATGTCCAAATCCTTGTTTGTGCCATTCTGGGTGCATGTCACGACCTGGCGCTCCCCGGAGTCAGATGACCTCCCCAACCTTTTCCCATGCCTGAACACTCCCTGCATACTCTGCTTGCCACCCATCGCTGTCCAACTACTCCCTGCCACATCTTAACGTTCCCTCCCCTAGTTGTCATTGAATGACCTAGCAGTGCAGAGTGCTGCAACCTCTTGTTCCATGTTTTGCTGCACTCTTTTATCTCACAGCGAAGGTGTCAGGGTCTGTCCTGCATCTGGAGATGACCCGGTGAGGAGGCCCGGCAGTGGCACTGGAGACTCTTCTCCAGCCACTAGTTCCTCAAAGTCGCTGAGGGGGGCTCATCCTTGGCTAAGCAGGGATTGAGTTGTCATGTATTACAGAGGGTAGCTACAACTTGCCTAAGCGGGGATTGAGTTGAGAAGAAGGGTAAGTTTCCCTATTCCCCGCTTGGCTGCTATAAAAGGGAACTGTACTGTACAGTTCATAATGTGACTATGGGTAGAAGCTGAGCATGTTCCCATGACCCAGAAAAGGTGTCACATGGGTTAAGGTGAGTTGCTTGCCTTGACCCACATGATTTTTCCCACAGGTTCACATGCAGGCTGTAGTTGTGAGAGATATGTAAAGATGGGAGGGTGAGGGAAGTGGGGGAAGTCAGGGAAGGTGGTTCTGGGGTTGTGTGGTTGGGTGCCTGTCAGGGGACGACTCCCGGGTGAAGAAATTCATGTTGCTAGCGCTATAGACTTATGTCATGAATTCAACTAATGTAAACCAGGTGACTGGACAAATGACATAAAATGGACAAGCCTGGTATCGAACCCAGGACCTCTAGCATGCATCCATACACTACTCGCCCATTATGCCAGGGAGGTTACTCCATCCCTGATGGTTATTCCAACACCGGGTCCCCATGACCCTCCCCTATGGTCCACAGCCCTATGGTGTAACCAGCCCTATCCAGGGCACAACCTACTGTGGGTAAGAAGATGTATAGATAAAGAGGCAAGTAGATACACTTGCCTACTGTGTGTCACGACCTGGCATATCCACCATTCCTGTCAACGCATCCTAGTGCCACTTGGCCCATCCCACCCACTACGTCCATCCATCCGTCCACCCATCACCCTCATCTGCACTTTCTCCCCACGCACATACCTTCCAACCAAGGTTGCCCATTTGAGTGGTTCATTGTTGTCCACCTGCCAGCCAGACAGCTTGCTAGATGGCCGGATGGCCTTTTCTCTTTTGTTTGCTTGCAGACTATTGTTCCTCCTTTGCCACTTGTTGTCTTGCTTGCTGTCATATCCACCCCCGGCCATCGACTTCCGGTTCCTCCGATCCCTCTGGTCTACCTCTGCTCCTCCTTCACTAACCTTGGAGCTCCCGTATTCCGCAATCCCCTCAGTACCCCTCGATGGTCACCACCCCCTCCTTTCAATTTATTACCTACGCCTCCCTAAGTACGGAGCCCCAAAGACTTCCGGACAGCTCCGATGTCCGCTAGCACACTCCCGCCTCCGTTGGGCAATACACTCGCCTGCCCTGCAGAGCCTACCTTTGGGCCTATCCCTCCTTTCCGTTTCTGGGTTATCGCCTGCCTTTCCGTTAACCCTGCAACCCGACTCGTCGGTAATATTCAGTCAGCTAATGTTTAACCCCGTTAGCTCCGCTCCGTTCGGCTCCGCCATTTGCAGACCTGTCTTCGCAGTAACCATATATATATCCAACTTGTACATAGGTTACACTTCAGTAATAAAATCGACTAGAGTTTACCCCCTTCAGTTCTGGTTGCCAGTTAGTAAGTTAGGGCACAGACGTGTTACTTGGCACAGCGCTCCTGGCATAAGTCGCTGAGGCCGAAGCCCTCCACCACGGAGACTTTCCTTCGTCTCGACCTGGTCTCTGACACTTGCCTTTTGTTGACCAAGTTTGCCAATATTAACTATTTGTCTATTTCTTCATTCATTAATATCACGCTTGATCCACCACTCCTTCCAGGCTGGTCCTATTTAGTTACTTGTGTTTATAATGTGTGTAGGTTACACCAGATGTACCTCAGTTCGTATATCGACTTGGATTTCCTGTCAGGGCACACCCACCTGACCCAGGTCCACCTGGGTCCACCCGGCCACACCTCAACTGCTACCCTGCTGCCCATCCTTCTCCTTCCTCCTTCCCCCCTCTTTCTTCCCTTCTTTCTTTCTCTTCTCTCTTTCTTCTCTTTTCTTTATTTCATTCTTCCCATCATTCTCTTCCTGTTTATTCCTTCTATTTACATGGACCACTTTCCCTTGCATCAATGTACTATTGACCTGTCCTGCCCAGACACCCCGGACGGCTCCCTGCTGTGCCCAGCACATGTGCCTGCAGCGGATGCTCTTGGGATCCCCCACAGGGACACCCAGATGGTTGCGGCTGTCTCCAAGGATGATGTGGCACCCGTCATGTGACTCAAGCCACATGTACATAAATGTACCTGAAGTGGGAACTGAAGAAGTAACCTTCTTCTCACCTTTTCCACTTCAGTATAGGTGGCCAGGGACTGCTGTCCCGCATCAGGCCTGCCAGCATGCATGCCCGCTTTGCACCCTGAGAGGGTCCCTCTGCTGGGCACTACATCCGGGCCCCCTCCACCCCAGATGCATCCCTGACAGCAGAAGAAGGTTTCAACCTCATCTCCCCCACCTCCCCCATCTCCCCTGCCTCCCCAGCCATGGTGTCAGAAGAGCAGTATGACGAGCTGCTGGCCTGCTTCCAAGAACTCCAAGCCATTGTGGAGAACCAGGCCCGCAACCATCCCCCACCCACACCTGCACCAGCACCCACCCCCATGCCTACCCCTGCACCTGCACCCGCACCCAGACCCAAGCCACCCAAGGTTGCCCCCCCCACTCCCTTCTCAGGCGCCAGCAAGGACCTCGACCATTTTAAGGCTGAGTGCAGGATTTACTTCCACATTCGCGTGGCTGAGTTCCCCACCACCCTCTCCTAGATCCTTTTCATGTTATCTTACATGAAAGGAGGACCCGCAGGAGCGTGGGCAACCCAACATACAATTATGCTGCTGACGGCCAGTTCCCCCACCCTCACCATGGACGAGTTCAATATGGAACTCGATGCCATGTTCCAAGACCTGAACTGGGAAGCCACAGCCAGGCAGAAGCTGGCAGCCATCCACCAGGGGAGTGACTCTGTGGATAAGGTTATCCAAGAGTTCGAAATACTGGGACCCACCTCGAGGCTGGGCAATGTAGGACTGGTTGACCATTTTGAACAGGCGATCAACTCCTGCCTCCAGGAGAGCATATACCGCCTCCGTCCCATGCCCACTACCTGGGCCGAGTGGAAGCGTGAAGCCACACTTCTAGACAACCAGTGGCAATGATTCCAGGCCACCCAACCGTGCACCTTCCCACCTAAACCCATGCTCCCACCAACTTGACCCCCATCGATCGTAACCCCACCTCACACACAACTCACACCTGTGCCCCCACAATCCGCACCTGTGCCCCCACTCCCCACTCCAGCAGCCCACCCCATGACAGGGATGGGCCCACAACTGATGGACCTCGACCACTCGAGGACTGACCCAAGGCGGTGCTACAACTGTAACACCCAGGAGCACATCCTACAGGACTGCCCACACCCTAAAGTCCGCCAGGTGTGACATCTCCACCCTGAGGACCTTTGAGCGCTGATGGAGGGGCTGAAAAGGCAGCTGACTGAGGAGCCAGAGACAGAGGAAACAGAGCTGGGAACAGAGCCTCAGGGGGATTTTCAGGAAGGTGACCGGTGAGGGATGTGTCCTGGCTGCCCATAGAAAATAGCTCATGTAAATACTGCAGTGTGCATGAGTCAATGCCAATGCCAAAACTTCACCGAGTTATTGCAAAGAAAAAGAGGAAAAACACATCCTCAGCCCATGAGAGTAGGGAAACCATAGAGGCAGCACCCAAAGTGGCAGTATCCCCCCCCTGCTATCTATGTCCACTCCAAGCAATCCCCCAGATCCCTCAACCTTACGGTGAAACTAACCACCCTGACCTCCCTCACATCAGTGTCAGTGTCAGCCCTCCTAGATTCAGGAGCCACTGGGAACTTCGTGAGCCCTGAGTTCGTCTGGAAGCTGTCAGGGACAGCTCGAGAGAGGCGGAGGTAGCGGCATAAAGCTCGGCGCTAGCGGCCCGGATGGTGGTGGGGCGGTGAGTGTCAGGGCACGCCACTCCGCCCCACACCGCACCCTCCTGCTGCCCCTCTTTCCCTTTCTCCTTTGTCTTCTTTCTTTCTTTTCTTTCTTTATATGGACGACCTCTCCCCTCACCCATGTAGCATGGACGTGTCCGGCACCGAGTACCCCGCGTGGATACTGTGCCTGTCACGACCCGGCGTTCCCCAGGGCCAGACGACCTCCTCCCTGACCCTCTCCCACGCCCAAACACTCCCCGCACACTCCGCTCACCGCCCGTCGCCGTCTAACCACTTCCCGCTACCTCTCCACAACCCCTCTCCTACTTGTCGTTGAACGACCTAGCGGCACAGAGCACCGCGACCCATTGTCCCATGTTTCGCCGCACCTTGTTATCTCGTGGTGAAGGTCACGCTTGACCTTCGCTGTCTTGAACACATGCTCTTTGTTTGTTTTCCTCCTTCTTTTCTCCGCCCGCAATCTCCGCGAGATCTGGCGACTTATTCCCTATTCAGTTCCCTAGTGCTTATATACAGCTTGTAACTAATGCTTGTACTGTAGTTCGAAATCAACTAGAATTAACCCCTAAGCTTACCTCTGTCCCCCGTAAGACCTCCGACCTTCTGAAGTATCGGGACCGCGTCGAGAACGAGGCGCAACGCTCCTCCTCGAGTCATTGAAGCCGAAATCCCGGCTCACTCGCCTAAGTAGCCTCGGCCTCGAGATCGGTGGGGTTTATCCCTCACTAAAGCTTGGTCATGCATAGGAC